AAAAAAAAAGGACTACCCCAACGAAAATAAACACAACAGAGAGAGATGACGGACAAGCATGAGGAACAACAAAACACGGAGGAGTACGACTACGACAGGCAGATGTACCGCTGCCCCATCTCGTGGCCCCTCACATCGGACAAGCCCAAGATGACGAAGAAGCTCTACTCCCTCATTAAGAAGACCGTAACAAAGAACAAGAAGGGTATCACCAAAGGCATTAAGGACGTCACGAAGGCGATACGGAAGGGGCAGAAGGGCATCCTCGTCCTCGGTGCCGACGCGTCGCCGTACGACGTTGTGTCGCACTTCCCGGTGATGGCAGAGGAGGCGAAGATCCCGTACGTGTGGGTGCCTTCGCGGCAGGATTTAGGAACGGCGACGCAGTGCAAGCGCGCCACGTCAGTGGTCCTGTTGAAGCCGGACGCCGAGCTCCAGTCCAGCTATGACAAGATTGCCCTCGCGATTGAGGACTTGAACTCTGATGAATAGCGACTGCGGCCGCTATACTTTTAATCACCGTACTAATTTGCGCCACTTCGCGCAGCGGATTGACGAAAAGATGATGAAACAGAGAAACAAAACATGAAGAACGAAAAAGAAAAATTCCCAAAAAAAAATAGTCAGCTGTGTAATGGAAGAAAGTAGGATACCTTGCAATAGACACTTCATATATGTGTGTGGAGCTCACGGTGCCTTACCTCTTCTTGTCTTCTCCTTTTGGCCCCTCCTCTTTGAATTCTTGTTTCGAATTATTTATGGGCGCACCGCAGCTCATTCGGGGCGAGCATCAGTGCCGCAGGCAACGCGGAGCAGCGCAGTCAGGTGGCCGCTTGATGTTGCTGAGCGCGACGCTGCACCGCGGCTGGTACACCGCCGGTGACGTTGTGCGGGCGGAAGTGCGTCTTCATGGCCTGCCGATACCGCCGGACGGGGAGACTAGTGCGCTGGCCACGCGGTTCGGCCGGGGAGACAATTACTTTGTCGGGGTGGACGCTGACGCGCCGCCAATGGTTCGGGTGCAGGTGCTCTCGGCACAGATAGTTGGCATTTGTGTTGTAGACTCTAGGCGTATTCGCTACAGGGTTGGGGTGGAGAAGTCGATATCTAAACTGTGCCCAGGCGTAGCTAACGATATGTTCCCCAAGGACCATGACGTCTATACACTTTTCTGCTCCGATGAATTCACACTTGCGAAGGACTTACTCTTGCGTGAACGAGAGTGCAAAGCGGCCGTGGTGACATTTACTCTACCGGAATACTTACCACCTTCCTTTCGTGGACAGTGTGTGCGCTTCTACTATGGCCTCCATATGCAAGGCACGTGGTGCGGTCCACGCGAACCGTGCGCGCCGGTGAAGCTGCGCCTCCCCATTAAAGTTCTTTCGTCGCCATCTGTCATTGTCCCGCTGCTAATTCCCACACGCTTCCCACTGGAGTGCTTTGATTTTAAAGAGAAAGTCCTGTTGCTCCAGCCTGTGCCGTCGCCAGCTGTGACAGACCCGCTCCAGGACTCGGTATCGCCATTGAAGGTGGAGACATTTGATGTGCGTCACATCCGCAGTAGGGTGGCACACTCTCTGGCGAAACGCCTCGCGGAGCAGCGAACACCTCTGGAATTTCCACTGAAACTCGCAGGGGAGTCTGCCCTGACGGTGGCTGTGGTGTCAACAACCGTAATGATCGGCGACTCACTGAATGGCGTATTTCTTCTTCGGAAAAACACCAATGCGGTGCCAGTGAAGGTTTTGGGAACCCTTGAGTTCCTCGAGTGCTGTCGTGCAGATCTTCTGAATAGTGGTATCACGTGCCACCCGCTGCCGGGAGGAGAAAAGGGATTAGTTGTTGCGCAGACTAGTGTGATTGAGGAGTTGGAATGGGTTCTACTTGACCGCACATCGGTGCTTTTTTCCGTCTCCTTCACAAACCCAAACCTTTACGCATCGATGCAAACAGATGTAGTGACAACCTGCTGGCAGCTACGACTGCGTTTTTTCTGGTGCAAGTCTTCTACACGGAAACAATGTTCTGCGAGCCATCGTGAGGAACTGAAGATAGAGGAAGAAGAGTCGGAGTTGGTGGTGCCACTGATTATTGTGCCACCACCCCACCCGGAGCATCCTCACATGGGTGCCACACTCCAGGTTTTCTGCTGAGGCCCCTCCGAAGCTCTCCACTACGAGTCTCAGCAGCTGTGACAAGACGGCATTACAAGAAGTGAGTATCACTGTGCTTTACTCTTGGCTATTGGATATTTGTGAGTAGAGCACTCATCGATCGGAACGATGCGATTTAAACTTCTCTTTGTGCTTGTTCTGTGCCTGTGTGTATGTGTGTGTGTGTGTGTGTGTGGTTGCGTACGACATATCCCCATATTTTGCTTTTTTCTCTCCTCATTCAAAAAGATGCCTATTTCTTTTTTCTTCTTCCGAGGTTGTGCTATTCCTTGATGTCTGAAGAAGCTCAGTCCGGCGTGCAGTTGAGTGAGGAATTGCCCATTCTCACCGTGCGCAAATCGGGAAAGACGATTGCAGTGGTGGCGGATAGTCCCTCTGCAAAATGTTGCTTGCCCTTCTCCCTGGCCTCATGCGAGGTGATGCAGGTGACTACTCAGGACGCCTTGCTGGAGGCGCGTGAGAGCGGCGCCCTCAAGTTAGTGGCGCTGGAGTGGCCAATCAAGGTAAAGGTGCGGGTGGCTCTCAGTGCCGTTCATGGGCGCACACACTGGGTGGTCCTCAGCAGCGGGGCCTCGGGCAGCACGACGACGGTTTCCAAGAGCTTTAAAGGCACAGAGGAGGGTTTGTGTGAAGTTTCGGGGTGGCTGAAGAGTATCGAACTCCATGGGTCATGTGAGATGTGTATAGCGAGCGAGCCTGACTTCTCCGAGTTGCATGTCACACAGCAGGTGGTGGGACATATGCGTCTTCGGGAGGCGGATGAGGAGGTGAATGAGCGGGTTATGCTTGGAGACTCCATGTCTGAAATCGCAATTCTCGTGGAAGACTTCTTGCGGGCGTACTTCATTGATGGGATGAATTCACCAACCGCTGTGTTTTGGCCACTTCCTCTGACGTTTCCAGTGAATATTCATTCCACGTTGGACAAGCAACGCGTTGAGGAGCACAAAGCGCTCTTGCTCCCTATGCGCCCATTGCTGCACTTTAGGCAGAGATTGAAGGATTGGGCGAGAGCAAATGAATTGCGTCCGATGTCAGTAGCATCCATGTCCCGTACTGGCGTCTCGTGGGAGAAGCACCTCATACGCGACATTCACAAGAATGTGAGGTGCCTCTCGCCTATTTCAGGTGGAGAATTATTTGTGACAAGCGGTTCGTACGATTACTATCACTACCGTGTTGATGGATTCAAGGATGACGGATGGGGATGTGCGTATCGCAGCCTGCAGACAATTCTGTCGTGGTTTCAGTACGAAGGGCTCATGGATAAGCCAATGCCAGATTTACGGGCTATTCAAGAGATTTTGGCGGTGAAGGATGCGGAAAAAATGGGTCGTAAAGATTTTGTGGGATCTAGAGACTGGATTGGATCCTTCGAGATCATGATTGTGATACAGCACTACGTGCCAGGCATTGAGTGCACCATACGGCGCATGGAAAGCGGATCTGATCTCGATACGGACCCGATGGTGCAGCAGCTTCTAGTGAGTCATTTCCGGCAGAAGAGAGCGTGCCCTGTTATGATTGGTGGGAGTAGTTATGCACATACCATCCTTGGTGTTGATGCGAATCTGGCCACAGTGGAGGCGCGGTACTTGGTGGCAGATCCTCATTATTCTAGTAGCGAGACCTCAATCAAGACGGTCACGAACAAAGGCTACGTTGGGTGGAAAGAGGCTGGGAAGTTCTTCGAGTCGAATAGCTGGTACAACTTGTGCATTCCACAAGTAGCATCCTATGACCCACGGTGAGGGGTAAGGGTGAGAGGGCCACTCTGTTCCCTTATCCTCCTTGTGCTGTTCCGGGATTTTTTTTCACTCCCCCCCCTCCTCTCTCTCTCTCTCCGTATGTGTGTGTGTGCGTGAGAGAGAGGGAGAAAGAGAGGGTGTTATAAAAATTTTTTGTCCTCCTTACTGGCGTGGTATAATGTTGTTTTTCTTTTCGTCATCACAACGGTCGTGTGCGTGCCATAGCTTTGTTCCCTGGTGTTTCGCTTCGTTTTTTTTTTCTCTCTCTCGTATTCCAGAGCTAGGAGGAAAGAGTATGTTTCTTCGACGTGTGGCGCCGAGGGGTTCGGCTGCAGTGGCTGCTGTTCCATTGTTGGCCAGCTCCCGCGGGTATAACATGTTTGTTTTCCGCGACCCAAAGCGCCGCCCGCAGCTGACGGAGGAGGAGCGCGCCAAGGTGGTCATCAACCAGGACGAGTGGCCGGAGGAGTTCAAGGACTTTGACCCTGATGATCCATACAAGAAGACTCCTGAGATCATCGAGGGCATGTCGAGCTGGAACCTCTTCCTTTGGGGTGTGGAGTGCGCCTTCATCTATCAGTTCTACGAGCTGGTATTCCCGAGGAGCATTTGATGTGCGGATGGGTGACAAGAAGATGCTCTCACCTGGGCAGGGCGCTTGTCGCGGCAGTTAAAATTAGGTAGTAGTGTTTGTAGCAACAGAGGGGTGCTATCGAAAAAGGTACGCACAGAAGATGAAGAAGTGGAAGCCGAAGAGAGGGAGGGAGAGAGAGAGAGAGAAAGAAAGAAAAAAGTGTAAATGATACGGACACCGCTCTAACCTTTGCCTACTCTCTTGTGCACGGAGATATAGCGGTGTATCTTGTAGGGTAGAAGGACGAGGGTTGAATTGCGATGATGATGTGAGTGACCCTTCTGGCTGAGGGGCTTTATTCTCCTCGCTTTGCCCCAAACTGTCTTTTTTTGTTTGCTCCTCTTGGGATAGCCGTTTTCTTTTTATTTTTTTCATTCGCATTTTCTTTCCTAGGATTTGTTTCCGCATCATTGCCGTCATCAGTTTGTGCCATGTGAACCAGTGAGGCCGTTGGCGCTGACCATCTGGGCGATGGCATATGCGGGGACTTTGCCCGCACATTTTGCGTCCGCAGGGAAGTCGTGCAGCAGCGGCGAGAACAACAGCGGCAGCCGCCTCCACCATGTTTCGCGAGGAGACCGCCTTGGCGCCCAAGGCACGACGGCTGCAGCGGACACAGAGCGGCGGCTGTCCGACAGGACGGTCGTAACGCTGACGGGTTGCCTTCTCCCGTTATCGTGGTGAGGACGTCGCTGCTTGGCGATTGCAACGGCAACGCTGAGGCTTTTGGCGCGCCTGGAGCTGATGGGCTCTTGATTTTGTGAATGCAGCGCATGCGGGCGTGTTGGGTGTGAGTTATGAACCGAGTAGGCGCAGTACTCAGCGCAACCTTATGCTCTATCTCCAACGCGTTCATGCGGATGTTGTCACTACTGTGTCGAGTGCGCTGAAGGAAGGTGTGCTCCCTGCCAGACAAGAGGGCCTGGCAAGCGGCGGTGACGGTGTGACGCTGCGGGTATCTTTTTTTTTTCTCTTCCTTTTGTGGGTACTGCGCCCTGTGTGTGGTGCCATCAGTCGTGTCGGCGGGGCGTATTGCTTCAGCTATCAGGCAGTGGATTTGACTACGGGAAAGCAATGAGAACATCCAGCTTGTTGGTCTCTTCCACCCTCCCCCCCCCNAAAAAAAAAAAAAAAAAAAAAAAAAAAAACATACTCTCTGCTTCGCTTTCTCGCTTCTTGCTTCTTTTTTTTTCGGTTGTTGTGCTTCCTTTCATTCTCTCCACCAGCTGTGTGCTCGCATCGGGTGGCACGCCGCACCAAGCAGGCGCACGCGGCGAGGGCGTCAGTGTAAGTCGACTTATCGCGTAAGTAACAGTCCGAAACGACCATTTTTGAACACGGCCGTATGCGGGTGCCGATTTGAGCAGAAACGCTTTGCGAGTACGCGCATCCTGTTATTTCTTCTCCGCTTTTCTCCCTTTCGATTCTTCGTGTCAGTACGTCTCACTACACGATCCCAATCGCTCACTCTCTCACACACAGACACACACACAGACTCGCAGGGAAGCGACCGTATCAGTAGTCAGAGGGCGGTGTGGGCGTGCGTGGCAGCGGCCTTGAGGCATACTTCAGCGAAGGCACGTGCATACTGGTAGATGCTCCGGCGCGTGGTAGCTGTGGAGGGACTCTTTAATGGGCACGCCATGAGAGACAGCTATGCGTCTAAGAGACACAGCGGACGCAGGTGCGTCTCAGAGAACAAGAAGGTGGGTGGAGGCGTGTCGCACCACACCGACTTTGATGGAAATCACACTGTTAAGAACGTCGCGGGTGAAAGAGCAGGACCGTCACATGAAAGCTTTGGGCGACGATTGTTTACGTCGTGGCAGCAGGGCGTGGTCGCTAGCATTGGCGCGGTGATGGGAATAGGCGCCATTGGCTTTTTTTTTTACGCGCCAGTGAAGGACGATACTGTGCATCACACCGCTGTAGTGGCATCGGAGGCGTTGGGGGATGTACGACTGCGCGAGCAGGCCATTCAACTCTCAAAGGAGGTTGTGGAGAGTGTGCTGAAGGACCCCAAGTCTCTCGATCTCGTTGTGGCGCTTGTAGTGCAGCTGTTAAGACAGGATGACACCAAGATAGCAGTTTCATCTTTCTTGCGTTCTCTTTTCGAGGACCACTACACACAGGAGGTAACAAAGAAGTTCGTGCTGATGACAATACTGGATCCGTGGATTCAAGAGCAGCTGCGCGGTATCGCAAAGGACCTGGCAAGTGGATTGCTACAGGATCCGGAAGTGAAGAAGGCGCTTGTTGACTTCCTCACAGATTCAGCAGCCGAGTCGCTCCGGAGCGAAAATTTGATATGTGATACTGCCCGCACAGTAAGGTCTGTTGCTACGCATATCATTAACCCGTGGCTCTGAAGGGGCATGTCACGCCATCCTGGGGATGCGCGTGAGGGTTGGAGTCTTTTGTCTCACTTTTGAGTGATGTGCCGAGTACTGGGGTGTGCGCCATATTCACGTGCTATTCTTGTGGCTGTTTCTCCATAGTGACACTTCATATGGGTAGGCTTGCTTTTCACAAATCATCTAGATGAATTTTTTTTGTTCGCCTGCTTGAATTTTTCTGGGCGAAAAAAAANCTCTCTCTCTCTCTCTCAAGGGTGATGGCGGAGGGATCAATGAAGTTGCTGGTGGATCTCCACCTTAGGTTTATACAGAGCCAAGATGAGCAAAAGGATAAGTTGACGTACTGGAAGTCACAACATTTAAAAATGAATGGCGTATTTTGGGGTCTTAGTGCCGTGAAGCTCTTGGGCCATTTGGACAAGTTCAAGCGCGAGGATGTTATTGCCTTTGTATTAGAGTGCTGGAACAACGATGGTGGATTTGGTGGAAATGTGGGTCAGGACTCTCACATGCTTTACACCTTGAGCGCTGTGCAGCTGCTTTGCCTATTTGGAGCCCTTGATTCTATTGATGTGGAGAAGTGTGCTCGTTGGGTGGCGTCTATGCAATTGCCAGATGGCTCCTTTCAAGGTGATGAGTGGGGAGAGGTTGACACACGTTTTGTGTACATTGCTATGAATTGCTTACAGCTTCTTGGGAGACTGCACCTCATCGATGTGGAGGCGGCGGTGTGTTGGGTGCTGCAGTGCCAGAACTGGGATGGCGGTTTCGGTGTTGTCCCTGGCGCGGAGAGCCACGCGGGACAGATATTCTGTTGCGTTGGCGCACTTAGCATCGCTAACGCCCTGCACCGCATCGACAAGATGCAGCTGGCGAGCTGGCTTGCGATGCGGCAGCTTCCATCGGGAGGTCTGAGCGGCCGCCCGGAGAAGAAGGCCGATGTGTGTTACAGTTGGTGGGTCGTTTCGTCGCTCGCCATGCTTGGCTGTACGGACTGGATTGATCACCACGCACTGTTTAAATTCATCCTGGCGTGCCAGGACGCCGACGACGGTGGCATTGCGGATAAACCGGGAAACATGGCGGACGTCTACCACACCTTCTACGGGCTGTGCGGCCTCAGCCTCCTCGGCTACGAGCACTACCCGCTTGGCGACATTAACCCCGTATACGCCCTGCCGTACACCGTGCTGGAGGAACTGGATGTGCCGGAGGAGAGGGGACTGCGTGTCGGCAGGAGGAGCCGAGCGTGAGCGCCGCGGTGCCTGTCCGCACACGCAAACCCTTTTTAAAGAGAAAAGAAAAAGAGAATAGGAGAGAACCAACCAAGAAACACAAAAACAACAACAACGAAAGCAACTAGAAGTTGCGGAAATGAAGTTGAAAGAGTGCGAAGTTTTGCGGTGTGTAACGACAAAGAAAAACGAGGGGTAATATTTTTATTTTTATGTTTTTGACATGGGACCTTCATATACGCATGCCGGATGCTTTCCTCTCATGCCGTTGCGCCTCCCCTCCCCCCGTCCGCTGGTGAAGTTTAGTTTCTGCCGTCGCATAGCAATGAAGGATGCGGCGTGTTGCCCTCACCGTGTGTTTTGAGCGCCTCCGGTGGGAACGGCTGCAACTCCAGGAGCAATATCGTCTCACAGCGACTAGTATTAAAGTGTCTCCCGGCCTTGTCGATCACTGCAGGCTGGTGCAGAGGATCACGGAAAGCCAGAATCCTGAATACCTGAAGCGCAAGCGTATTCGCGGCGTATTAAGAAAGATGGAGACAAACCACATGGAATGGCTGGAGGAATGTGGGCCACGGGAGTGCGTACTGCTGTTAAAGGCATTGGCAGGCGCGTCGCGGTACCTCGGGCGCGATCACAGTGCCACGATGGGCGTCCCCTACGACGACGATTGGTCGGGTGCATCACCGCACTTTTCACCTGGCTTCAACGACTGGCTCTGCGCCGCACTGCAGCGCAGCGCACAACACGCGTCAGGTGCTGAGGAGCGGATTGCTCTGCTGGCAGCGGCCGCTGAACTGGAGTTGGCAGACACTCCGGTGCTGCAGCAGCTCTGCCAACCTCTTACAAGCCGAGAATACACGGCGAACGCGTCACCGGCAGATCTTGTCAGCGTTTTGCGTGTCAGCTCACTGCTTGTCAAGCGGTGCCGGATGCCGCTTCCCCCACTCAATCACGTGCTGTTTCGTTTGATGACCGCCAAGCTCGATTCACGGCAGTCTCTGACGGTTCTTTCGTCACTTTTGCGCTTGCGGGAGCGGCATGGTGTGGAAGTTGTGCGCGCTGTTTCCAGAAGAGCTACCGATCATGTCGCGACGTACACACCGAGGGATGTTGTCTACGCACTGGAGGCTATAGCGCTGCTGAACTGCTGCCACGAGGCCTACACAGGGGCTGTTCTCGATCGGTGCACGGAATTGCACGCAGTGCTTCAACCCACGGAGCTTGGGAGCATCTGCAAGTACGTTGCCATGCTGAATAGTTCAAGGACAAACAATGATGCAGCGTTATCGTGTGCCAAGGAGCTCCGCCGGCTCCTTCCGGCACTCTTGAATCGAACAGAGCAGCTGCTCGGGCGCTTCTCGCTCCGTGACGCTCGTTGCATATTGCGATGTTTTGAGCAACACAAGATTCACCACTCCGTAGTCTTCTCGCGCCTGACACCACTGACGTCGGGGGCATAGGGTGAGGGAGCACAGCAGCTGTCAGAACATCAAGAGTCAGGGTGATGATGGTGATGGTGCTGGTGATCTTGTAAGAGGGAATCTGTCTTCAATTAACTGAGCGAGGAATTTCTTTTTTTTTTTTTGTTTTCCCTGATCACTTAATTCATTATGGTTGCTCTTGTTTTGTTTCTACACAAAGCCTCCCTGTAGACAGGAGACACATATACGCGCACACGTACTCTGAAGGTTAGTGGTCATCAATGGAGGGTAGTGAGTCGCCGGTAATCGAAGACCCACTCCTCGAACGGTTAAGGGTGAAACATGCAGAGCTTCATGTAAATCATATTTCAGATGTGCAACGGGCAAAAACTATGGAGGGGTCACTTGCCTATAAAAAGATGGGAAAACTCCCGCCATCTACTGAACTGTTATCAGATGAGGTAGCCATTGCACTGAATGAGATTGGAACGCTCTGCGACGAGCATGGTGTGCCGCGTGTGAAACAGCTACTAAAGGATGTTCGCGCGATGATGAACCGGCAGCTTCGCGAGGCCTACTCGTACCTGGAAAAGGGCTACGTGTCCGCCTTCCATCGCCTTGAGGAAGAGGCGGAGGAGGCGCGCAAGCGGCGCGAGATGGCGCAGCGGAATCAGGAGAGAGAAGCAGCCGCGCGGGAGGCGTCAAGGAAGGAACTGTGCTCATTTAGTGAGCGCCGCAGCCAGAACGCCTCTGAGCGAAGTCGGTCTGAGTTGCCTGGTGCTGTGCCCAGGCTGCTATCGGTGAAGGAGGCACTCTCAACAACTACGAGCTTCTTTGCAGAAACAGTTGCAGTGCTGCTCCGCTGCGAGGTGGTGCGCATCTACCTCTACGACGAATATGAAAACCTAAATTGCTGCGCACGCTTCCCTTTTAGTACCACACAAAGTGATCCAATGTCCGGGACCCATTTGGAGTTGATGCTCGCGAAGGAGTTGCATCGTACAGTTTGCCGCAAATGCATTGCCGTCAATGGTAAAGGGCCACAACATATAACTTTGAGTGAACGTGACCGTGAGGCGATGGAGGAGGAACTTGAGCAGAGTGGATGGAAGTCAATGACGAGCTGTCTCATTTTCCCCATCTTCTCGAACGAAGGATTTGGACGTGCCTATGGAATGATTCATGCGGTAAACAAGCAAGGTGTTGCAGCAGACCGGCCTGGTGTGTTTGACGAGAACGATGAGGTCCTCATGTCCGTGACGACGCGTCTGCTAGGTTGCTTGCTCACTCGTTACCCCGTGAAGTACTTCATGCTTCCTGTTGGAGATTTGGTACAGCAGTGCGCAGGCTCATCCTTTGCGAAGGAAAAAAGTCAGCAGCACCTGCCGCCTCTGCTGGTGAATGAAGTTGAGGGTGCCGCGGAGGTAGGTAACAAGTCAGTCCAAATGTGTACGCGGGTGTTGTTGTACCGTGCACCTATTAACGCTATTTATCAAACACGGTCACTGCGTAAGAAGGCCCGAAAACTTGAAGCGCTCAATATGATTGACAAGGCTCTCTCTACAGTGGAGTTTGACCTCAGTGCGTTGGAGGAGCTTTGGCGTGCCGGCCACGAGGAGAACACAGTGATGTATCAGCGTTGCCAGGAGCTCAACGAGCAGGTCAACACTCAACAAGTTCTTCTTCGGAACGTTCTTGACGGTATTGGTGCTTCGCGGGCGATGAGAAGCTTAGGGGAGGTGACCACCTACCTGCAGGTGTTGGAGTTGTACGCCCGCCAGGAGAACATTCCAATGATCACCGAGGCCATTTCCCAGGCTCTATTGAACTGTAGGTACGACGGCCCGGTGCCGCCGGAGTTGAAGGGCGTGGATCCCGGTCGACTCTCACCCAACGAGGCGCTTCGGATCGAGCGCCGTATCGCCCAAACGCCTGCCAAATTAAAATTTGGTGCCGCAGAAATGCCTAACGTGCGCACATATTCTTGTGACCCGCAGAAGAAGCGGGAACAGGTGCAATTCTTTAATGATCTTGCCGAGAAACGTGCTCTGGAATCAACGGGAAAATTCTTACCAAATCAGGGCTCGCGGTATGAGGCTGACACCAAGGCCACAGTAGCTAAGAAGGTAAATCAGCGTATTTCACCCTTGGTGTATTTTGGACCGACAGATTACGCGTCCAAGCGACCGTTTCAGCTGGGGAGTTCGTAGAGCCCTCCGCCCATGCAAAATGTAAATTAGAAATATTTCTATTCCCACCTACATGTGTGGTTCTGGATGTTCATATATATATTTTTTGTTGCTAGCCCTTATTCTTAATAATAATTAAATAAAAACAAAGATGATCTTTTCTTCTGAATTTCTCCTCTTTTGTGTTGGCGAAGTTTTGTGAATGCTTACTGATAGGGAATAGAAACGGAAGGGTATCATTCTTGCAAAACAAGTATTGTTTATGATGGGCCGAAAAGTCTGGGCTTCGGGCATTGCTTCGTGTGAAGAGCGCTTGTCCAACGATGCAACCGGTGTTGCGACCAGAACACGCTTCGGGAATCAAGGCATGGTGTTGGAGAACATTCCGTACGTGGGCCTCGTAAATCAAGGCAGCACATGCTATTTAAACTCTGTAATACAGGTGCTCTTTCACCTGCCGTCTTTTCGCCGTATGCTATACTCCGTGGAGAACCCAGAGCCTGGTTCTATAACGCTAGCATTGCGTAACATTTTTGCTCAGCTTAACTGTGCAACGTCTTCTGTGTCTACAAATGAGCTAACAGAGGCGTTTGGATGGGAAAACAATGAAGAGTGGATCCAGCATGATGTGCACGAAATGCTGCAGAAATTGCTTGATAGCTTGGAGACTGTATGCAAAAATACACCGTTGGAGAATATAGTTCGGGATCATTTCTACGGTGAATTGACGTACATCACACGTACTGTAGACGGTGTAGCCCATACGCTCTACCGTAAGGAGGGCTTTCATGATGTTGAGCTACTTGTCAAAAATAAGAATACAATCGCTGAATCATTTTCTCAATGGGCTGAACCTGAGCGAATCGAAGGTGTATCACTGGAGTTTGAAAAAGACGGGCCCAGTACTATTCATACTGTTGAGCGGTGCCAACGGTTTACGAGGCTCCCACGTGTTCTATTGATACACCCCAATCGTGTAGAATTTTGTATGGAGTCATTTGAAGTTAAAACTTTACACAGCAAGTGGACATTTCCATTAACTCTGGATCTTGAACCATACCTCCTCCAAGATGATAAAAATACACCGGATACTTTTGATTTTGGAACTGTATACGACCTGCGTTCTGTCGTGGTACACCAAGGTGTGGCAGAGAATGGGCATTATCTCGCTTACGTTCTTCTTGATGAGGGTTGGATGTACTTCAATGACGCGGTTGTCTCGCGCGTTCCCGAGGAGGATGTAATGAGGGCGGCATGGGGTGGCGAGGTTATAGGTTCCTCTCACGACTCGAATGAGCGGGCATCGCTTCTCTTGTACGTCAACCGCACAGTTGCGAATGAGCTGCTGACAGAGGAGCCTGTTCCCGAAAACATTAAAGAAGTTGTAAGGTCGATCGTCACGAACCGCGATCGTAAATGGAGAGGACGATGGGAGAGTGTCTCATTTCAATATTTCACGGATGTGGAGAGTCTTACCAATGTGCTTGAGGACATCCCTGACGCTGATGAAGGTGCGTCAACGGTAACTGTTCACGCGGCGTCATCCTTGCAGGAGGTGCACGCGGCCATTGCCACAGCTATCGGTCAGACACCTGACCGTATTCGGGTGTGGATGTATGAAGGGGGTTCTCCGAGTGGTGTGACATGCGCCCGACTTCACACTGATGTAAGAAGTCAGGGCCGACTCTTTGTTGAAACTCTCCCAGCATCAAAAGACACACTGGATCCAGCGTCTTTTGATGAGGCCTTTTTCGTGATAGTTCGCTCTACTTGTAATAATTCATTGGTATCCCATGGCGTTCTTCACGGACGGGGAGAGATAAAGGCGCTCATGGAGACGTACAAGAGACCAATGAAGTGCTTTGTTTGTGAGTATGGCCTTAGTGTGAGTGAGGTGCAGATAGACGAGATTTTACCTGGTTTCAGTGTTATCATCTGCCCTTTGGAGATGTCTGAAAATCATGTGGTGGAGATGCTACGCCAGCGTCAATTCAGGGAAGTTACTGTTTTTCTTCTTGACCGATGCAAAGCAGGGAAATGGACGCCTATAGGCAGCTTTCGTTTTGATGAAAGTACACCATATACTAAATTCCAGCAGGAAACTTATCGACTCTTATCTGCTGCTCATCAACCCCTCCCACCTTCACCAGAATACATTGGATTTCATTGTTCCATGATTCGTGGTGAAGAGGGACCTTCACTTGCCGTATGCCCGCTCTATAACACAAATCCAGAACCGGTAGCACTTAGTATAATTATGCAGGGTTCTGGAGGAAGGGGAGTTCTCTACTGTGCCCTGCTTCCTGCTCCTCTATGCACACTCGACACAGTACGTCTTGTATTATTCAACATTGGTGGTGGAATACGGTTCACTGTGTATGTTGAAAGACGTTGCTACAAACTTGGAGAGTTGTATTCTCTTGCGATGCAGCAAGGGAAATCTTTTATTCCACAGAAGTTATATGCATATCTTAACCAAAGCATCAAAGAGGGCAAACCAGCGTTGCGTCTTCTGAAGGTTTCCTCTGGTCGAGTTCAGTGTGCTTTTTCGGACCCAGGTGAGACAGTTTTGGACATTCCGGACCTTTATGTGATAGATGTGTTAACGGAGTTAGGTGCCGGTTTTTCCCGGGTGGACGTGCTCTTCTGCGACCGGCGGTCGGGAGAGTCGTATTTTGGATTTCCAACAAATATTGCTGTGTCGAACACGTACGAAGAGACGGGGGCGGATATTGCTAAGCGTCTGGCGGAGAAGATTCTTCCCACACCAGAGACGGATGATATTGCGCGGTGGATCGTCGCTGTGAAGGGGAGATCAGGGGTGTGTCGGACGGTTGGGAAGAGAGACACTCTAAAAAAGCTTGTGGAGGAAGTTAAAGGAGATATCGAATGCATTATAGTTGACCGGCCGCAGTTGATATCGATAGATGGCATAGTGGAGAGACAAAAATGCCCTGAACAATCCATAACTATTCGAGATACTTCTGCACAGGACCTTACCGCGTTGAACAGCCGGCAAACCTCAACGAGGGACTTGGCCTCAATGGATAAATGAGAGCTGTGGCTCCATCTTTATTTTGATACCCCTGCGATCGTAGGAATTTTCATGCCGTGGATAATGCATGTAGGATGTGAGTGCGAGGGGCATTTAGCATAACTGGTTTGATCGCTCACATATGTTATACCGTCGTCGGTGAGGATGGGGCATGCGTTCTGCAGCAAGGAAGCCCCTTATCTTTTTGGGTAGATTCAAAGTGTAATCCACTTTCATTATTGGTTCCTTTTCTTTTTCTTTTGTTTTTGATGGCCTGCTTCTTTGTGCGGAAATTACAGTTGTGTCTTGTCGAGCCGTGTGAAGCTCACGCTGTGGAATGCCACCTAAAGCAGCTGCCGGCAGGGGGAACAAGGATGACAAGAACAAAGATAAGAAACCAGTCAAGATGAGCGCTCAGCAGTTGGCCTTGGCTAAAGCTCAGGATGCGGCAGATAAACTTTACAAACAACATGAGCGCGAGCGTATCAAGGCAGAAAACGCTGACCGATTGGACCGCCAAGGTGCATCACTCGACGCGGCCATGGAGAAGGAGCGACTTCGGGTGGATAATGAGAAGTATGAAGAACTCTTAAGTGAGATGATGGAGCGGGAGCAGCTTACCTACAAAGAGTGCGAAAAACACAGCATCTGGAGCCACATCCCTGACGCCTCACGACTCCCTCAGGTGAGAAGTGAAAGCTCGATCAACACCTTCCTTAGTGTCTGGCGCGATGAAGAAGAGAAATATGACGTACACAACCCTTCTGTGATGGTCATGGCGAAGCGCAGTTCTATCGGCGGCTTCCCACAAATTCACCGCTTTCTAAATGAGGAACTTGGCATCAGTCCTTCGGCTCGCCGGAAACTAGTGGAAATTGAACTCAATCGGTGTGTCGAGGCCTATGAACTGACTGAGGCCATTCACATGGAAGCTGACCGCTCCCTCATGATGCACAATACCGATGAGCTCAAATCTTTCAGTGATAGCACAGGAAAGGTGTGTGAGCAGGTTCTACGTACATTGGACTTTATCACTATCCACTCACTGCTGGCTTACGATGTTGTGCTAGAGGGACCGGACAGCGAGTTCCTCACAATGAGCGTCCCGGCAACGAACTCCGTGGTGAAGTTTGGTCTCTGGGTAAAGGTGAAGGAAACAACGCGCAGCTTCGCCTCACTGGTGTTTCCGAACATCAATATGCGTCTGGACCCCAAGTCTACCTCTCTCCCCAAGTTGCCCAGAGCATTGGGGCTGAGTAAAGAGAATGTTGCATTACGAATCATTCAGCTAGGCTTTGATCCACACGGCCATCACGGGTCTACTGGACGCGAGTACTACGCTTTAAACTGTATCATCAAGATAGATCTCCTCAGCTTCACGGAGCGGCCAAAGCAAGCCGGGGACTGGCTATACCGCTCTGAGACGCAGGAGGCACATGAACTGCATGTTGTTCCGTATCCCCCAGTTGTGATGGAGAATATGGAAGAAGATCCGTCACTCCGTGTTTCATTTGAGGTTCCCAACAGTATCATTATGCGTCAACCAGCGCTTCTTATTGGGAAGTGGCTAGAGGGAACAAAGGAGTGGGAACCGTGCAGCCACACAACACCTTCGACAGAGAGTAACGTCCTTGATAGCCGACGATGCGTTTTCACCACCGGTGAGTTCGCGACCTTTGCCATCCTACAGGAAAAAGGCTTTGATGTGCCGTACGAGCAGTGGAGGCTGCACCCAGTGAGTTTTGACCAAGTGCTCATGGTCTTGGAAGGGCGCCGGCGCGGTGAGGCGAGCGACCGTGAGTTCCGCATCCTTATCCAGGACGCGCAGTGCAAGCTGCTGGCACCGGAAGATCCTGAGTTGGCAGCGCTGAGGGAGGATTGGCTCGAGCCCGCAACACTAGTGCGTCTGCTGTCCCAAGCCGGTTTCAACTTTGCTCTGGATGACGAAGACGCCAAGTTCCTGGAGAATATTGTGCCGAAGTCTTCAGCGCTTGAAGAGAAGGCGTACACCGATATTGCACAGTTCTGCCTCTTCTGTGCCGTTGCGAGCTCAAGGCATAATAAGTGCGGAGAGGATGCCGACATGGCCCTCTTCCGTATCTCAAGGCAATGCCGTCCATTGGACTCTGAAAGTCCAATGGAGGTTCAACTCGAAGATGAATCCGAGTGGCACAGTGTGCGGTACCAGACATACCGGTGTGCATTCGCGGCTTTCAAGGAGTCGGAAGAGGTGCCAGACTTGCGCATTCTCGACGGGCATGAGTCTCACCTCAATCTGTACACGCTTCTCTTGCACGAGAAAGGTGAGGAGGTGCGCCTGCAGGCGGTTCACCGGACGAATTTTCTGTTGCGGCGGTGCGTGTTTCAGCTGCTCTGCTTGATCCGGCCGCTCACATGGGGCTGATGCGTGGGTGGGTGCGAGATTCAAATCTGAGATGTACAGCTGCAGGAGTAGCAGTTCATCGGGGGAGGGGATTCAATGTCTGTGTTGTATGCGATGGGGTAGGTGAGGCTGCATCTTCCACTTGCATTTTTTCCATTTCATCTGTTGATACTTGATGCTCTTTGGTTTTGGTTGGTTCTTTTTGTCTCGTTTTAATTATTATTGTTCTTCTTTCTGTGCTTTGTATGACTCTTTCTTGTCTTTGTTTTCCCCTTGTCAAATGTTTTGTTTTTATGTGTGTGTGTGCGTCTGATATTATATGTAGGTGATCGCTGACGAAGTGTCCATCCGACAGGACGGATGCGCCGCACACTCCTGCGGCATGTGTACGAGGGATTCAAGGGCACCATCGCCGGCGATAAAGGGTTTATGACGTACCAGCAAGCGTGCTCCATTTTTGGCTTTCAGATGAGCGACAAGCTAGAGGCGAGTGAGATAAAGAAGCGGTTCAACAAGCTCGTCCTCAAGTACCACCCTGACCACGGCGGTACGAGCGAGCAGTTCCAGCTGCTGCGGGAGGCGCACAAAATCCTCCTGACGCATCGACACGACAAGGGCGACGACACCCGCAAGAAGGGCGGGGAGGTGAATTTTAGGCGTATGAACTACGATGACATGACAAACACTATCCACCGTCAGTCTGTTGACAAACCTGAATATCGGTCGTTTGACATGCGGGATTTTGCATTTTTCTTTGCATTTGTAGCGTTTGTGTTGTGCTTCTACTTGTATCGGGCCTGGCGAACGCAAATGCATGTGCTGCGTAGCAGGTGGAGCTACACTGAGGATCGCCTTGTCGCGGGGACGGCGCACGATGAACCGAAGGCGTGGCACCCATGGCGGTCGGACATGGGAACGCGGGATGTCATGGACGAGATCGGTGTCCTGCAGGGGAGCGTCAAGCGTGAGCTGGTGGAAGAGAAGCGGCGGCGGGCACCCGCTGTGTACGTGCCGTGGCAGCCCGGCGGCCCCTTCGCCCGGGGGAAGCAGTCCGACTCTCCAGCAGTCGTGCGAGAAAGCCACGAATGAAAGCGATGCTGTGTAAGCGCTTTTTTTCTCTCTTTCCGTGTGGTGTTGTTCTTTATTTTTTTGCTTGATTGGCATTTTTTCTTCTCGCCTGTGTGTGTGTGTGTGTGTGTGTGCTCGTGCGAGTGTCACTGAACGTCTGGGCGGGCAGCACGGCGTGGCGTCAGCGTTGCTGGTGAGCTTCTGGCTCGGTTTTCTCTGTTGAGTAGGATGGTGGGGAATAGTAGTGAAGCTGTGGGGGAGGGCGGCGGGGAGGTGGGGCGGCTGCAGGATGAGCTCTCTAAGGCACACGAACGATTGCGACTCTGGAAGGACAAGACACAATCTGGAGTCGATCAGTTGCGCAACCGTATTGTAGAGCTTTCCCGCGAGCTTGATGAATCGCGTTCGACGAATGCACAGCTGGAAGAAAAGCTGCGCGGTATCACAGAAGCTCCTTCTACTTCTGTTGCTCCTCTGGCTGTTCCCGGAGTTTTAATATGTGCTATGACCGAGTGGGCGAATTCTTCGATGAATATGATTGCCGCTACTTCTATTGGGAAATTGGAGGGTGCGTTGGATTTGGCCGCCGCCGTGTCGCAGGAGTTGGACAAGTACAAGCGGAGGACCGCCCAAACTCTGCGCTTGCAGACAAGGAACTTGGAGGCGTTGCAGCTTGAAATCTCTGGTCTCCGTCAGGAGCTGAATGCAGCACTGGACGAAGTTAGAGAGCGCAACTGCGCAGTTGAGAGCCGGGATCAGGCGATTGCTGTGCTTCAGAACCGCGTCGAGGATCTGGAGGCGGCTAACGCGCGGCTCGAGTCCTCACGAGTAATGATGAGCAGTAAGCCGAACGCTGAGCAAATAAATGTGCTTGAGGCGCGGGTGGAGGAGGAGGTTGAAAGCTTGCGGCACGAGTTCATTTCGCGTGAGGCGGCCATCTTTGACCAGCACCGCGACGAGTTGGAGCGTCTCATCACCGCGCACGAGCAGGAGGTGGCGGAGCTGCGCGCCGAGTTGGAGGAACGGCCGCTCGCTGCAGCGCCCATGGTGGAGACCGACGGGCAGCCAGCTGGCGGGGTCAGTGACGCAGCATACGCTGAGCTCGTCTCTGACTTCGAGGCGCTGCAGGATGAATTGCGGGTGACGCGGACGGAGAATCAGCGGTTGTTGCGGGAGCTGCACGACCTGCGGGAGCGGCCGCCGCACGGTGACAGTACAGCCACCGGCGGAAGCGGTGGCATCAACATGGACAACAACAACAACAACAACAACCACAGGGGCAGCGGCACTGCAAATACCACGCTGCGACGCGGGCCTCAGACGTGGCCAGAGGCGCTCGTCCATATTGCGGAGCTCGAGAGTGGTATGAAGCGGCTATCCGACGAGCTGTGCGAGGCGAAGAAGCGCCTCATTGAGTCGAAACACCAGGCTAACACCAAGGAGGGCGGATGCTCGCAGGCTCTGGAGGGACAGCAGCTATCGTATCTGAAGTTTGTTGTTGTGAAGTTGCTTTGCGGCAATGATGATGCTCAAGTGGCGATGAACCTCTTCCCTGTGCTGAGCACGCTGTTGCATTTTGATCCGACAGACTTGCAAGACATATACGCAGCAAACCCGGGATGGATGAAGCGGAGGGCATTATAGTTCTGCTGAAGCCTCCAGGATCCCTGATGACGTTCATATCCTTCGGGAAAGTGGAAAATGCATATTTGTGAAGTGAAGAAAATGTGCGATGTTTTTTTTTTTCTCTTTTTGGATGCCCTTCTCTCCATCAAACGTGGCACTTTCTACATTTAAATGTTTTTATTCTTCCCCCTTCTTTTTTTTTCCTTGTGCATCTGTGCGTGTTTACTTGGGCACATGGATGTAGGCTCCAAGGTATATTTATATATATATATATATATATAGGGAGAGAGGTCCTCTGGGAATGCAGTACCTGCGCTCACTGTTCTTGACACCAGACGAGGCCCTTTCACGGGAGCGGGTGCGAAACGAAATCGCGCTGGAGAATTTAGCAAAGGCGCGTCTGCAACTAAGGAGCGAGGAAGACCGTCTAGAGAAGGAGGTGGCGGAGCTAGACAATGAATTGCAGGCGAAGCGCAGCGCGCTCGCCGCTGTGGCGAGACCGATGCTGAATGAGTTTGATGAAGTCTCACTGGCGCAGCACTACTACCAAGAGGTATCGAACATAGCAGCGAGCCACCTGCGCATTGTGTCGCAGCTCGCCGACCGCGAGCTCGGCGAGTTTGGCTACGTCAGCAAGAAGCTGATTTCCGTCGGCCTTAACTACGAGGTGCTGAAGCTGCGTATGGCAAGCGGGGGACCATTCAGAAGCGAGCTCTCCACCGTCCTCAAGGACGCTGAAAGCGATGACTTGACGCTCATTGCTGCACCGCTTCAGAGGGTGATGAATATCCCTCCTGCCGCTGCAGTTCGGGCCACCGCCTTCGATCTCGCTCGCGCCATTGAGGAGGCCGGCAAAGGGCCGGCGCGCGAGCCGGTGCGTGGGTGGCTGGACTTCCTGAAGTTCCGCACGTCCTTTAGCCCGACAATGCTTGAGATGCGGCAAGTGCGTGCCCGCCGTGCCGCTGCGCGGTTTCTTGGCCATGTGGAGCAGGGCGAGTATCACCTGGCGATGGGTGTTGCCGAGGAGATTTACACAGAGGCGAGGCGTGAGGTGGTGGCGAACGAGGCGCTGCTCACGATAGCCTTTGAGGCATTTAGGAATAATGTACTTCCAAACATCGCGTCGGATGTTTTTTCACGCTACGCCCGAGCCTCACTCGACGCGTCTCGGTATGCCTGTGTGGAGAAGATGTTAAAGGAGTAGCGTGTGCGCCAGGGCGTCACTGACGGCGTTTGTGGGAGAGAGAAAAAGAAAAGGACACCACCAAGGAGACCGGCTTCTTCCATCTTTCCGTTGTTGTTATCGGCCCTCTGTGAGTGTATGTGGAGTGATTGGGAAAGGGGATTTAGTCCCCTTTTTCTCTTCCTCTTTTACTTTCTCTAACCCTTTTCTTTGCAATTTGGTGTCCTTTTTTTTTTACGTGTTGTTGCAATTCACGCTTTCTCTCTGCGTCTTCTTTTTCCCTCCACTTGACATTGCACTTCCGCTTCCTTTATGATATACACCCATGCCTAATTCAAGGGAAAGAAGAAAGGCACCAGTTTCGTTTGTTGGTCAATGACGCACATTGTCGCTGCCGTGAAGCGGCACCTGCGTGTCAGCCGTGATACACACTCCGTAGATGCGCTCCGAGGTGCGTGGGAGACATTGCAGCAATTTAAAACGGGTGCGGTGCCCAGCACGGTGTCTGGGTTAAATGTATCCAACGAACTCTATGTACTGTGTTGCGAAGCGGCGATGAAGTTGGGCGAGTGGGTCGTGGCGGAGCAGTGCCTGAAGGTTTTTGCGGGAAAAAGAACACCGACAAAGGCATTGGAGGCACGCGCCCTCTACTGTGACGGTCTTGTCGGTCTGCACAATATTCCCATCACCTGTCGTGGCAGAGCAAAGGTGGCGGCACATCTGCGGTGCGCCACTAATATTGTGACTGGCATAAAAATTGTCCTGGAGGAGTGGCCGAAGGAGGCATATACACTCACGACCGGCATTGAGCACCTATGGCTGACAATCCGCGACCTCTTCATCCCTGGAACGTTCGACAGTATTGTGGATGTTGTGGGATTTGTTGTTGCATTGCACGACAAACTTGTGCAGGGAGGTCCTTTCTCGCACTTGCAGTGGGTCATGCGGTATGCCGTGTGCCTGCGGGGCGTTGGCCGCCATCCAGAGGCGGCAGCACAGCTCTCCACTGCGTCTGAGATGATTGCCAAAGTGGGATCGGAACGGCTGCAGTTGCGTTTCTTCCGTGTTCAAATCGCATTTTCTGTAAATCAGCAGAATACTCGTCCCAAACAAGATTACACGAAACCCGTGCTGCAGGCGCTTAGCACGGTGCAGTCATTTTTCTGTGGTATCACAGATGAGAACACTTCTAGGGCGGAACTAATTCTTGCCCATGATCGCCTCCTTAGTGACCCGGAGAAGAAGGAAGGGAAGTCAAAGGGTCGAAAGGCAATGGAGACTGAAGTAACATTTAGTGACCCCGGTATTGTGATGGATGTTCTCAGTGAAGTGGTTCTTGGACTTGCGCTGTGCGGGGCAGATGAGGTGTATAGCGGAACTTTACCGAAGCTGCTACAGAGCGAGAGTGTGCGTCCCCGCCTGTTCGGCGAGTACGCCCAGGCCGTTTTTAGAGCCCGCGCATGTGGTGCACTGGGAGCAGCTAAGGCCTTGGATGCGAGCTACCTTACCAGGAGCATGGCGGATGCCTTGTTTAAATGTATTAGGGCGGTGGAGAGTACCATGGATAGCGCCCGCATGATTGATGTCCCGTCAGAACGTTCCTACACACTTGAGATTGGCTGTGTTATTCTCTGGAATCTGTGCCTCCCGCTCCTGCAGCCTGAGACACGTGGGAAGTTACGTCATACCCTAAAGCGTATCGCGTTGCTCTTGACTCAGTATGGTTCTAACTTGACTGGACTCCTCGTTCATGTGGCATATGAGTCTGCTTTGATTGAGTTTGAAGAGGATAATTTGAATTGTGCTATTGAGCAGATTGACAAAGCGCTGGCTCTAGACTACTTCGTTATTGGTCCTGACGGTGGTATCACATTTCCCATGGACTTTGCCTTGCTTTGGTTGAGACGACGAGCGGTGGTACGCAAAGCCATTGACAGCAGTGCTTTTACCTCTCAAGAAGATCAGGTGATTCACTTAATTGAGCAGGCGAGGACAGCGGCTTCTGCATCAAACCGCCTTGTTCTTCTACAGTCAGCAGCCAATAAACTTCCCCCACTCGGCCATGTTATGGAGGTCAACACCGTGGTGAAGGAGAAACCACCGACGCAACGTGAACGATCCAAGGCTGCGAGGATGAAGAAACACTCGTCTCCTGTTGAGCCAGTGGAGGAACAGCCGCAAGAGCCACGTGTGATCACTAACCCCTCGGCTGCAAACATTTACTACCTGTTGCTAAGAGAGGCTAAGGAGGTGAAAACCCCCTCAGTGAATCCAATCATTGCAGCAGTAGCGAACAGCTTGACACAAGTAGATGTTATCAACGAAAGTGATGCAAAAGATTTGCTCGTCATGAAGGCAGAGGCTCACTTGAGTATGGCAGAGGTTTTGACGACTTCAGAGAAGAGTTCTGCTGCGACGAAACCTAATTCCATAGCTGACGTCATGTCACATATTTCTGCAGCTGCGAAAATTGGCGTGAAACTCTGTGCAGCTGGCTACCGTGAAGAGTGGATCACCGTGAATGCATCTCTCTCATTGATCAATTGGTATGCTGAATCCTTCCGCAAGGGGCTCTTCCTTCCGGCTGCAGCAGCCCTCAAGGAACTCTACGCTGCGCTCAACAATATTCACATTGACCCTATTAGAGATTTTAGGCTCTGCAATGACATTGGTTTCGGCTACGTGATGTCCATGCTGCAGACGTACATTTCATCAAAAGGTGAAGTGAATGGAGAGTTGAGTTGTGACTCACTCGCGGAAACTATGCGAAAGACCTATCTATACCCTCTGAGCGAGGCAAACAATGTCATACTACGACAGGCTGCAGACGCATGTCGTGGGATGATGAATAAATGGCAGCTGCCCTCCCACAGAAAGAATTTCTGCTTGCTCGATGTGTGTATCAATCGGTTGCTAGAGCGCAACCAAGAAGATTCACACCATCCGCAGGAACAGTTGCTCTTTTTACTCGGCAGACTGAATGGTCCCATGCCTGATACGGACAAGCGCGGTTTAATCAACAAGGACTGCCTGGAGTTGCTGCGGGCTGATCCGTCGGTGGAACTCTGCGGGCGTCTCGCCACGCATAGTATGCAGCTCCCAGAGAATGAGCGGGTCACGCTGGAGCTTTGCCGAATCGCAGATCACTTGTACCAACATGGTAGGCTCAGTTGGGGAACCAAGGCACCCATCAGCAATCACACAGGTAAAGAAAAGGGTCAGCCTATTTCTTCTTCGGCCTCATCAGCGACGACGGCGGCTGGTGCTGCTACCGCTGGAAGCAGTAGTAATGGTGGTGCTGGGTTGTACCCAATACCCTCAGACGATGATTGGTATTGGTACGCTGTTATTCTACTTTATCAAGCGACAGTGCTAGTGCGATTAGGGAGTGGTATTGAGCGATCAATGCGTATGGAGTTGGAGAAGCGTGTTCTTGTGGCAATCACGAATAGCGCCATTGCAGCTTCTCATGGACCTCTAACAACACAGGTTTCACAAATATCAGATGCCTACTCTACATTCTGCGGTGTGGCGGACACTTTTAGTGTTTCCTCGCGTAAACTGCTGCTACCCAGTCTTCAGATATTGCTTTCATCGTCGATGCTGTCTAAGCTTCGTTTGCCAACACGGGTGCCGTCTAATGAGGGGAACATGGACCGTGATAACCTGTGCACAATTCTTACTAAAATGGGTGTGTACTTCCTCAGTGGCCTCTCAGAGAAGGGGGCCTATGATGAGGGCATCAAAACAATGAACAATCTCCTCAATGTGCTCCCAGCGAAATACCATAAAGTCTTTAGGGGATTTGAGGCTCAATTCCGCTGTAACCTGGGACTCCCAACAACACAGCTGCTGAACAAGGTGAAAGGAGGCGACCCAGAGACGGAGGCAGCGGTGTGGATTGCCATTGCAAGGAATGCTGCATCTGCCGCGGAGAGTAGGAAGGGATGGATGCGGTCACTTGAAGTTCTTGCAAACAAACCTATTCAAAAAGCTGATGCTCTTCTTCAAATGTCGGAATGGATGACGGCTCGAAATGCAATATCAAGACGCGACCTTACGACACTATTACTTTCAGCATTAGATTGCGTAGAACACTTTAACGAGCTGCATCAGTCAACTTTGTTTACTGGAAGTCTCCAGGGGACTCCTATGAGAAGTGTGCGGCAAACATTGGCATCTTCACTGGCCGGACGCACACTTACACTTTCATACAGTGCATCCTCGAAACCTGGGAGCCATACAAATGGCGGATCCGCTGAACCACCGTCTCTACGAGATGTTATGATTGCGATACGAATTGTTTATTTCCTCTTCGTTGTGGCTCCAGAGACGCCGTGTGATGGAAACTCCTTTGCTCAGAGTAAGTGGGCTTGCGCCTCCACAATTCTCCATTACGTCTTGTGCTTGTGGAGGATTGTGATGATTCGTGTTCGAATGCAAGAAAACAACCCAGAAGACACCTTGAAGGCTAAGCCTTTGGAGCTTCCCGAAGATTTATACGGATGGCAAGGTTTTCATGCTGATCCACAGCACGCGGATGCTATACGATTATCGTGCTCGGATGACGCTGCGTACAACACCGAGAGACTCTGGGGAATGCTATTGGAAGTATGCGATTTCTTCGTTAACGAGCACATGGAGCAGTACTCATTCATCATGTTTAGTTGGATCGAATTTTGTGCTATTTGGAGGTACAACTTTTCCGATACTCGTGCTGTGGCAGTTTTCCGCGCTGTTCACGCAAAGAGTCTCACAGCGTCTGCTCGATGTGGATGTGTGGGACTATGTGGCGCGTACCAAGTGGAAGCACCGACTGCGGAGTACTGGTCTAATATTCAGGAAGTTTTGCTCGCAACAGACGCTCCACCATCCTCGTCGCTGGGACCAGGCGGGTTGCTGGATTTCTGTACGTTTGGGGCAAGCACATACCACTGCGTGCTGATTGAGGCAGAGGAACTTTTTGCACTTGGTCGTTTGCAGGAGTCATTGGAATGGAGCAATAAGGTGCTACAGTGTGCGATGCGTATCGGCAATACAGAGGCTATGGTACGATGTCGCCTGCTGGAGTTGCGAGTGAACATTTTGAGGGGCGAAGGTGCACTAGCAGCGGAGAATCTGCGTCGGCTAGAGGAGGAATCTCAGGGACTTACATTGTCGATGTGGACGGAGCTGAACCTGACACGATTCGAGGCCTTGCTGAGCTGCCAAAAGGTAAATGAAGCCATCGACCTCATCCAGCAGTTATTACAGGGTCTCACGTTTCGTACAGCTCGCATCGATGAAGGTGTGGTGAAGGACGTTGCAAACGATGTGGTGAAAAGATGCCACAGAAGAATCCTCCGTGAATGTGCTCGACGTTTCTTGCCACTTCTGGAGTTGCCATTGCATAGATTCTGCTGGCCAGGCAACAGTGAAGAGGCGACCAAAAAAATCCTGGTGAAATGGTGCGATCAACTGCAAGAATTTGGGGACTGGTATAGTAGAGTAATTGCACTTCGTGTCATGCAGAATCTACGTTCATATGTGAATGAGTTTCTATTGATTGAGGATGCCAGCATGGGAAAAAGACTAATGGAGCTGTTGTACGCTGAGTACTCTGAGGCCCTCGAAGTGATGGAGTTGATCCGCCAGGAAATGAACATCATGGTGCCTCTTTCAATGTACACGCAAAGACTCGCCGTACAGCCAAGTATTGCGACTGCCTTGGATGAGGTATTAGTCATGCTTGCTCGAAATTGTCTGGAACGAGAGCTCTTGAAGAATTTTGTTTTGTTGCGCTATCATCAGCTGACAATGGAGCAGCTTGGCATCCCTACGGGGGGCCCGAAGGAGCTGGAGCCGTCTGTCCTGCAATACATGCAGGACCCCAATCAATACGAGCAGGCAAATAAATGTTTGGTCCAGGGTGGTGAGCCATCGGTGGAGGTTTTCAAGAAGGAAGTATATGACCCAGAGAAGGAGGTGGAATGCGCACTGAAACACTTTAATATTCCAGTTGTTCATGTGGAAGGTGCGTGCAGCGCAAATGCAGAGGCGATGCTGTGGCGCGCGGCGCATGGCGGTGAAGGATACACGCCTGTTCGCATGGAGGCTATAATCAGCGCCTCTTTCGCGGAATTCTACAGGAGACTTAGGGCACTCAACCGCGCTGATGACGATACTGTGATGAAGGCTACTATACCAATGAGTGAAGAAGTAATGGAGGAGGTACGGTCGCGTGAACATGAAATACTTAGAATGAAGTGGCATGCTCCTATTGTTGTACCAGAGCGTAGCACCGGTCGGAGGGCGAGCCGCAAGACGGCAGTGCCGGAGCGGCGGAAAGGGAAGAAAGAGACACCGCATGTGGAGGAGGTAGTGCTCCCGCCAGTCAACTTATGGATAAACGAACACAGTAACCTCACAACAGCAATTCATTTGGGTGTGGCCCATGCTCAACACTTATTAGATTACAAGCAGATGGCGAGGTGCTACATCTGCCTGGCTCACACGCTTATGCTATCCGATGAGCCGTGTGCCGCTGGAACTGCCGTTGAGTTTGCTCAAGCTGCAGAGATGTGCAATTTCCTTAGTGACATCCACTGCGCTCTTCTTAAGAGTTCGCCTGAAGGCACTCTCATTCGACTGGTGGAGCGAATGAAGATGCATACACCATATCTTTTGAACAGCGCTGTTTTTGACACGGTGCGAAACACACTGATAAATACCTCCAGCATGTTGAAACGTTTTGATCTTACTGGGGATTGGCCAGCTGAGTCCAACACACCAAATCCTCTCCCACCAGATTTCTGCACCTTCACTATTGTGCGGGAGGGGTACACACCGTACTTCCTTGTTGCTCTGCGCCGCCCTGACGGGGTGGTGTGTAGCCGCCGAGTGCAGCTCGAGATGAAACCGCTGCTGGACTGTGGGAATGAACTGGATACCTTCAGGCAACTCAAAAAGGATGAGATCGTCAACAAGGGGTCATCCTCCGGTGGATCTTTGGAGGTGACGTGTGCACCCCTCCTGGAGTCCATCATGGAATCATTGGAACATGCGGCAGCACCTTTGTGGGAAGACTTTGATGATGTGTTGTCGTGGCTTGCACCAACGTGCAATATGTTTCTCTGTCTGGACCCTGTTTTACAATCCTTGCCGCTGGAGCAGTTGTCACCATTTACACAATTCTTGTCTGTTCAACGGGAACTTTCCGTTGTTAATATCCGGCACAAGCTGTCTCTTCGTGTGGGAAAGCCGTCGTCGTGGGGGACACTCGCCATTGTCGACCCGTTTGGTGAACATGAGTCGTCACTGCAGAGCCTCTTTGGTGCAGAGAGCCGCCCCAAGGCCTCCTCCGGCGTAATTATTTCGTCCACGAAGGATCAGGCTGGCGTCGTTTGTAAGCCTTCGGTGTCATATGTGCAGCGGGCGGTGTCATCAGGCAACTGCAGCGCCGTCTTTGTCAACATGTGCGGCTCAGTGACAGATATTGTGAGACCACAGACTATAGCGGAGATGGCGCTAGATCATATACAGGTGGCGTTTCTGACGGAGGGCACAAACGATAGATCCATTCGCCGTGAGCAAAAGCAACGCACAAGCAAAACCTCTGTAAGTCTCTATTACGAAAAGCATTTCGTCGTGTCGCTGCTTCTTATTGCACGCGGCGTGCAGTACCTCTCCGCAAATATACTTCCACTGTCACCAGAGGAGAGTGATGCTGTCAGTAGGCGATGCCTTCCTGTCGTTTTTGGCGGCGGTAAGGGCCTGTACGAGGCAGTACGCGGAGGCAATGGTGAAGCGGCTGATCCTTGCGCTTCAGCCTTTGTTTTCTACGGTCTGCCTCCTGTCGGAAAACAGAAGTAGCACACTTGAGCGTTGTTTCCAGCTGCTATTCTTGTTTCTTTTTCTGAGTGTGTGTGTGTGTTTGCCTGTTTTTACACTGATGTAAAGAAGAGATGGATCCTTGTGTGCTGACTGTGGTCATGTTTCTCTGGGTGTGTGGGTGTGCGTGGCTGTGTGCTTGCGCTCAAGCACAAGAGAAACAGTTGCGTAGTGGATGAGATGGTGCTCTTTTTGTGGTGGTTGCCCTCTCATTTTTTGTGTGCCTAACTTCCCTTTTTCTCCTGGAGTTCATTCTACACCCTTCAACGGATGATATTGCCAGGGTATTATCATATCTACAATAATAAATAATAGTTATTATTTTTATTATTAGTGGTAGTGGCAGTGATAGCAGTAGCGGGACTAATATCGAGTCCCCACAATGGAGTTTCTTGTCGCCGATGCGGAGAGAATGTTTACCACAAACGGTAAGCTGCAACATCTCTCTTACTGGTCGTACAAGATACTGACACGTAGCTTCTTGGAGAGCTACCAGAATCCCCCCTTTTTCCCATCTGAAACCACGCCGGAGAACTACATCAGGGCTTCGAGCTATGTAGACTTCTGCACGTGGCACAGGTACTCAGATTTTGAGTGGCTTGCGGCGCAGATTGAGGTGGAGTTTCCCGGAATTCTATTTCCCCCGATTCCGTTAAAAGAGGCAGATGGTACAATGGACAAGTTTTCAGACTTGCTCAACAGCGCAAAGGATAGTGACGCGATGAGCAATGAGCATCCGCTGGTGCGGAAACGCATGCGACAACTGCAGCTGACGCTCAATGTTGTTTCACAGCTGCACGAAATTCATGAATCCCAGATATTGAAAGCCTTCGTGACTTTGGATGAGCGGGGCTGGTTCGCATTCCGTGCGGAGCAGCGAGCAAAGAAGAAGACATCGCTTTTTTCAGCCGTCAGGGAAAAGGGCCTCAGTTTGTTTTCCAAGTTGAAATCACTCAGGGATTCAGACGACTCAGAGAACTTTGTGTCCTCCCCGCTCGGCACCATAGCCGCACAACAGAAGGATCTTGCGGCTTTCTTGAATACCTGCTATGTTGAGGTGGGAAATTTGGCTAAACACACCACTTCCGAGCTACGCCAATGGAGCGATGTGGATGCGCTATGCAAGAGCACGCAAGGGGCTCCGCTGCCGTGGACGGCTTGCTATAGCGGCCACTTGGTGCAATATGCAAAGCAAAAGGAACTTGAGGGTGTGGTGCGGCGCGTCGATGATAAGTATGCCTGGGTGGAATGGAATGGGCAGGACGACAAGTTGAGTAAGGTGCGACTGGACGAGCTCAACTACCCTTCATCGGGGGTGAGTGATCCGGCGATGTTTGCCCTCCAAGAACTCACGACGCAGATTGATTCGTACTGCATGTACTTGAGCCGCGTACCTTCTGTCACTGCGCTTAAGGATATTGAAGACACAATTTGGTTCTTGTCCAAGTATGCCAGTCGCTGCTGTGACGTCATTGCGCGGCTGAAGGAGCTGGGATCGCAGGTCCATTCTCTAAAACTGACGACGGAGAAGAAGCCGAACTCTGAGCAGAAGGAGCGGCTTGAGCAGCTCCAGGAGGAGCTGAACAGTGCGTCGGCGCGGTTGGTTAATGTATACAACACATTCTATCGACCGTACCTGAGGGAGTCCCTCTTGGGCGTGGCGCGAAAATTGATCGAGACATCGGTGGCGCTTATAGCCAATGCTGAGTGGGAGAAGCGCCTGTCGCGGGCAAATGCCATGCTGACGCCTCGCTTTGAAAACCCCCCTTCCGACGAGGACACCGAAAATACGCTGACATGTGGCGCATCCGAGCAGGTGGCTCCGTCAGCCGCACACACAGACGCAGAAGGGGGCGGCACCCGCCAGTTCACTCCGCGCACGGAGCTCCACCCGTGACGCCACTGGAGTGCTATAGTTGACTGTCGAAAGGGAGAGAGAGAGAGAGTGTGTGTGTGTGTGAGAGAGAGAGGAGTAAAGGGCTTAGTCGATTATCGTGAAATTATCGCATTACTAAAAAAAAACACACAATTGTTATTATTACTGCTTTTCTCCGCTACGCTTGAGTACTGCTTCTATGAATTACCCCTTGCGCTGCTGACGGCCTTTCTCTGGGGACCACTGACGCGACAATGGATGCGAGTGAAAAGGGGGTGGGGCGGTCACGATCCGCCTACCTGGTGCTGGTGCTGAGGAGGAAAAGGAAGGCGAACGAAAGGGTTGGATGATTTTCTGCTTCATCATTTCTTTAGATTGCAACGCTTGGTCCACGACAAAGGGTTTAGAACATGAACTTTGTTCGCGGCGTATTCTCGAGCACGCCGACAATTAGTGCGTTGCCCATCAGAGAGTCGGCAGTGCCGCTCAGCTACGTGCTCTCAAGCTTCCGTTGGCACCTTGACTCACGGCCTCCCAGCAAGGCCATCCTCGTGCATGATTTCTTGGGCTCGTCTGTGGCGTGGCAGCAGCTGCTACACAAGAACCTCGGGAGGCTTCCACTCTCAAACCTCACACTAAAGACGCCACTAGAGCTCTACGCTGTGAACCTGCGTGAACACTACCTCTCAAAGGGACTTCCATGCCCGGCGGAAGCAAAGAATTACGCTCTGGCTTGCGCGGCCGACATTGTGCTGCACCAGCGCCAAATTCTGCGGAGTGATGCGAAGCTGGCTGGTCTTGGTTTTGGTGCGCTTGTGGCGTGCCAAGCTGCGCTGCACTCACCAGAGTCTGGCTTTGAATCCCTAACACTCTTCGTGAATGATCCCTCGCAGTTGGTGGCCTGTGACCCGTCACAATACCCCACGGCTTCTGTTATTCTTGGTGTACCGAAGGAAATAAAGACACTGGCCGAGCTAAATAGGCATCTGAGTAAAACTGTGCCAAATCCGGTTGAGCGGGCGCTAATTTTCGCGTCGGCGGAACAGCGGGATGGTGCAATTAGTTTCCGCTTTGGCAAGGAGCTGCTGGGCCTTCAAGGCCCACTACAAGGAGCCGTAGGTGTCGGCGAAAGGGTCCAATTCCTGAAACAGGTCACAGTGGTTCAGTGCAGCGATGCGGTGTTTCCACAGGAGGCGAAGGATCGCTTCACCAAACACTTCCCTAACGCGACGTTTTTAAAATTCGAGGGTGACCGTAGCGCGGGACTGAGTGGTCTGTACCTGCAGGGTGAGCCGTTTGTTGGCACCCTCCTCAGGACGATGAACATGCTTGCCGAGGCAGAGAATGGGGAAGGAAACAAATAAGAGAAGAAAGCAGAAATAGAAGCATGAGAGAGTGGCGTGAGTCTTGTGAATGAATTTGGGCACTAATTATGTGCTTTTCCATTCAGTGTGGTGAGGATTACTGTGAAGGAGTCAATGAAATAAATAAATTAATAATCCAGTAGATTTTTTTTGTCTTTTTGATGCATCATTATGTTTTTTTTTCTTTTGCGTTCTTCCTTTGTATTCTAGTGAGGCTATTCCTAATAATTTTGTAAGAGCACACCAGTAAGCATGAAGGTATATGACATTCTGGTGCTTTTGCTATTTGTATGCCTTCTTTGCGTTGGTGTTGTGCCAGTGACGGCAATTCACGAGGACGAGCAAGGCCTCCGTGATTGGATCCGGCGTTTTGTTGGCCACGTGGAGCACGCCACTTTCCATCCCGGGCTGAAGCTCAACCACGTCTACGTGACGACAGCGCAGGGAGCTGTTGCAGCCCTGTCACTCAGCGATGGGGACCTTCAGTGGCGGAAACTTCTCTCCGAGCCGCAGGTGTGTGTGGCGGCGAATAAACAAGAAATTGTGGTGTCGTCTCGCACGGGCACGGTGCATGTCTTCGACGCTGCAACCGGAAATCTTGCCTCCACCTTCAAGTTGATGTTGCCAAACGGTGCCAGCGTTGGTGCATGTGCGACTGCTGGGAAAGTCATGAAGGTCGCCGCGGTGGACACTTCAAAGGCGTACTTGTATGAGTTCGATTCGGCGACAGATGAGGAGGAGATCAAGCCCAGAATCGAGTTCTCCATTGGGGTCGGTGCGCGCGAGATTCGCATCAGCGGCAATCATCTATGGGTGCTGCGACAGACCACTGCTGACCGCTACTCCCTGGAGGGCAATGTGGAGGTGACAGGTGTGGAGGGTGGAAGTGGCGCTGCTGTCACTGGCAATGGTGAGGCGGTTATTTTCACTTCGGCGAAGGTGACTGTGGTGCGGAACCCCCCAAAGGTGGAGGAGGCCATCAACTGCAACAAGTGTGGTGTTGGCGTGCTTGTCAATACCGCTGGTGCTTTCGGAGGCCAAGTTACAACACAGACAGAGCAGGACGGCTTCTCAGTCGTATTCCCCACCTCAACGGTACGTGTTCCGTACCTCCATGGCGATAATGGCACGGCTGCTGCTGCTCCCGTTGTTCTTCTTGCAGTACAGGATGCTGAGCATGGTGCCTGTGCACTTGTCCGTGCTGCTAATGGCCATCTCCTCGCGGTGGCGGAACGCACCGGTACAATGTGGGAGCGCATGGAGGGCCTTGCTCAACTCACCGCCATGGTAATTGCTGACAATCCATTGCATGAGGACCACTTTTCATTCAATAAATTGGCATTGGTGGTCTCCACCTACGGTGTTGTATATGCCGTTCCTATTGCCGACATGGGACTTAACATCCGCGTGCTGGCTGATATATCCGGTGTGATTATGCAAAAGACGGCCGCTGCTTCTATGGCATCCGTGAAGATCGAGCGGGTACTCTTATCGGGGGCAAACACCATTACTGTTGTTGCCTCCTCTGGTAATTCACATGTGACCTTGAGTGTCGACACAGCCACAGGCGCTGTGAAGGACACCAAGACGTACACAAATGCCCTATTTGTTGCACCAGCATTTACTGTCAAGCGTTCACTTGAAGTTGAGGGAAGTGCGCCTTCTTCTCAGCAGCATGTCTTTGCGATGAACATGAGCTCCGGCCGCATTGAAGGGTATGTGGTGTCCACTTCGTCGAGTGCCACTCCCCTGTGGACGGTGCGCATGCCTTACCCCTTGGTTGCCTACGCGACGGGTGTGGATGCTCTTCGCACGACTGTCATCAACCACCTACGCGTTTTCCCGAACAAGAGTACTAGTACAGACGAGGTGCGCCGCAAGTACCCTACCCGAAATGTTCTTGTGGTTGCCCACTACGAGCCATCCGAGGAGGAGTTGACTACGCTAGTCATCACTACCATCGACACCATCACCGGAAGTGTGCTGGGGTCGGTGCGTCACCGCAACGTGGAGGGGAATGTACACCTCCTTATCGTGGAGCACGCCGTGTTGTACCACTTTATGGACGCGGAAAAGATGCGTCACTGCTTAGGTGTGTGGGAGATGTTTGAGGAGGAGTCTGGTCCAGTCCTTCGGAAGGATGCTGGCGCCACCCTGCCGCAGGTGATCGCGTCCTTTTTCTTTCGCTCCAAAAAAGTTTTCAGCTCACGTGCAACCCGCCCCCCTGCGGTGACAGCAGCTGTGCTCGGCATTAACGGCGGCGAAGTGGCCACGATGAGTGTTACGGCATCGTTTAATGGCATTGCGCGCAAGAGTGTTGTGCTCGCCTTCGAGTCTGGCCGTGTTGCCACAGTGGAGCTAAACAGACTGCTCGCGGGTGGCCAGCCCCCGTTGGACGACAAGGGGAACCAGCTGACGCACGTGCTGATCCCGAGCACTGCCCTCGCCACGCACAAGTACCGCGTCGCCAAACCGAGCCTCATCACAACGGGCCCGACCAACCTGGAGAGCTCATGCCATGTCCTGGTGTCGGGGCTGGACCTCTTCTACGTCCGCGCCTCTTCCGGGAAGGCGTTTGATCTCCTCAATAGCGACTTCAACAAGGACCTATTGATAATGCTTACCTGCGGCCTTGGCGTTCTTGCCGTTGTGGCGCGGTACTTTGTCATGCGGAAAGGACTCAACCTGTTGTGGCGGTAATCATCCTGTGAAGCAAACGGCAAGAAGGGTAAAGGAGCGAAACAAACAAACAAACAAACAAAAAAAGGATGAATGAATGAGAAGTATAAATAACAGAGGTCTGCTTCGTGTGCCGTGTCTGTGTGTGTGCGGAGATATTGGATAGCTAGAGAAAAAAAAACGATGAATTCCCAAGTGACTCCTGAGAGGAGTCTTTTAAATTAATTTCGGCACTCCTCCTTTACAAAAAAACAAAAAAAAAACAAAAAAAGAGTAAGTACGTGTTTTTGTTTGAGGTGTCTCTCGGGTCCTGCTCTTCTTTTCTATTAGCTTGCCCCACGCAGGAGGCACGAACGGAGTGCGGAGGCGGTAGGTGGCTTAATCTGGTGCCTGTTCAAGGCTGAAGTGTATGCCTTACAACTTCGTCAAGCCGAATAGGGATCCCGGGGCCGTAGACGATGACGAAGAGATGCGGATTCAACAGGAGTTGATTTCCTGGCGCCTGCAGATGCGTGAGGAACGGCAGCGACGTCTGGTCGCGGCTGCTGCAAAGGCAGAACGGGCGCAGAAGCATATGAACCCGCCTACAGCCGGTGAGTCCTCTTCAGAGTTAAAAGTGGAATACCGAGGAGAACCAGCACGCCATTACGACCCTACAGCATTGCAAGAGTACCGAAGAGAATTGAATGAAATGATGTGTACACTGGATGGTGGTAAAAACACTCACTGGTACGCCGCGACGACGGCTCAGCAGCCCCGCCGCATAAAGCAAAAAGGTGTCATATATCATGAGGCGCGAAGTGTGCTTAGGGGATACATTAATCGTCCAACGCCGTCCATCCCTCAGTCTGTCCGCAAGGCCCCCAATGGGGCTCTGCAGGCATACAGAGACGCACTTGCAGTGTCGACAAGGGCGTACTGCGATGCAGCGGGTGGTGCCACCCCATCGTCGTGGCACAAGAGACCGCTTCGCAGCATCAGCGCCTGTGAACGCCGTGGGGGGACGTTGGCACCCGCTCCTGTCGCAACGACACGGTCAACAACGCTGCGAAAGAGACACACGGAACACTCACACACGGGCCAAAACTATGGTAGGGACTCCCCGTTGAAGGCCAGCAAAGCCCACAGGAAAGGGCAAACAGCTCGGCTGGAGCATTTCTCTCCGTCGAAGCTGGGGCTGACCAAGGCCTACCGTGACGCGATGCAGAAAGGACACCAGCCGTATCATGTAAGGACGTCTCAGTCTAGAGAGGAACTGTCCCAGTATAGTGACTCATCGTCGTTGTGCCGTGGAGGGCGGAAGTCTGTGACGCAGCCGATGGCGCCGTCGTCCCCCTTAGAGTCCCCCCAGCCTCGGCAGCCGACGGGAGGGCTGTACGCACGCCGAGATGAGAAGTTTGCGGCCTCAGATCAAACCTACATGGATGCACCACCAGCAGCGGAGGCGGTAGATGTCTCTCCCTTGACTCCTGCGCTTGGTGGATGTAATACTTCGATTCAAGGCGAGGAACGCCCTAGGCGGGAGCCGTCGCCGCTGCTGACGGATCTTCTTAGCAAGCTCGCACTGCCGGCACCGTCGCTCTACCGTCCGGACCTGTTTCAGGGCCACGCACGTGCCGACAATGGGCCCGCGGCTCGGTCGATGCAGCCGCAACCACGGTTGTTTGAAGATACCACCTCTCTGGAGCGAAACCTTTTCAGCGATGAGGCGCATAAGCGGTGACAAGCAGTTCAACATTTTTTGTATGCTGAAGGGAACTGTGCGGGATTGGGCGGTTCTGTTGTGAGAGCGGCCACGAGATATTTCTTCCTGATGCCGTGCTGCACTCGCGTCTTCTATACCTATTGCCCGAAGGAAGAAAAAAAAAAAGGCGGCGGGGGAGGGAAGGGGGGAAGAACGAGAGAGGGAGTGAGGGAGGAAGGGAGGGAAAGAGAGAGAGCAGAGAATACTTGAACAGAAGGAAGTAATAGCAAGAACAAAAAAAGGGGCTACACATGAGCTCATTGGCAAAGGGTTTTTGCGAGAGTGCGTTGATGGGCTCTCTCCCCAGCGGGACAGGGGAGGGTTGGTCTGCGCGGTGGCCGTCCCCCACACTACAGGTGGTGGACATCCAGCGCTATCCAAAAGTGGTGGTGCAGCCCTCTGTGGTGTCGCGCTTCTACCTCGCAGTGTCGGACTCCGACTCGTTGTTGTGGCTTGTCATTCCTCCCGGGAGCGAAGTGGAGGAGCTTGTCCATACGTTTCAAATCGAGGTGGGATGCTGCATTACACTGATCGATTACACTGTCATTACGGCCAAAAATGGATTGAATGTTGTCGTGCCGGTGTCTATCAGTTACTCTGGGACGCAGCTCTCGCTCATAGGGAACCCGACGTTTGATTCTTCTCTTTTCTCCTTGTCGAGAGAGGCGCTTACCAACCGACGGGGTTCTGCAAGACTGGGTACATTCCGCGCGTCTGGGAAAAGCACGACACTGAGCCTGAGCTACATTGTGGAGACTGAAGGAGAGAGCTTGGGTGACTTTGCTGTTCACGTGCGCATGGTGTGGAAAGGGAAACAACGTCAACTACCGATGGGTGGTGCAGTCGATCGATTTGTATTCGATGGTGTGGGTGTTGACAGTAAAGGAGACGCGATTTGGATGTCTTTTTTTGGCAGCTCTTTGCTGTACGATGTTTTTTCGGTAGATGACTGTGTGCGGGCCACAAACGGCACACTTATGAGCCGCGGTGATGCCAACGAGTTGTTACGACTGCAGTTTGACGAGCGGTCCTCTGGCGTCTTCTGTGATGCGGAGGAGAAGGAAAAGGAGGAGGAAGGCGCCATTCCAAAGTGCCCTCAGCGCATGTTTGGTGCGCGAGCGGTGAAGGACGTCTTGGAACAGGGCACCATTGGTGATATTACCTCAGTAGAAGGTGTGGTGGCGACAGTGTTTCCGGCCGCGTTTGTGGACACGAGACGCGGGCGAGTGGAACGTGCCGGGGTTTTGCTGCGAGACTCGACCTCGCCGTGGCGTACGCTCGACGTGACGCTCTGGAGCGAGCAGGCGCGCGATGTACGGCCTGCGGTGGGCGATCGGTGGTGCTTCTGCGGGTTTGGCGTCTCAGAATACATGCGCCGCCTAACACTCTCCAGCAGGTATGCGAGTGCTGCGTTTCAGATGCAGTCTGGACCGGCGAATCAGCAACACCAGCAACAAAAGCAACAACAACCTCAACAGTGGGGCGACTGCCTCACCGAGCAAGCAAGAGCTGACAGCATTCCTCTCAGAGATACGCTGCAGGCGACACTCAGTCTCGACGAGGCGTCTGAGACTCTGCCGGTTTTGGCGAAGATACAGCGCGTGAAGCTCCCACTCACATACACAGCTTGTCGCGGTTGTGGCAGACCAAGAAGCAGCGGGGTGTTTCACTGTGCGGCGTGCGGAGAAACCGCCACAGAGGAGCGCTTCGTCGTGCGGTTGGAGTTGTCGGACGGCATTCGCGTCGTCTCCGCTGTCGGCTTCGCGTTGGTTGGGGAGTCATTGTTTGGCGTCGACATTCCAACACTGCTGAGGCGGCGGGGGGAGTCGCCTGCGTTTGAGCGGGACATGACGCGGGAGGTTGTCGGTCTCCCGCTGCTGTTCTGGTTGCTGCGCTCGCCCGACGCTCTCCTGCATGTTGTCAACTGCAGACACATCGGCATGGCGCAGTGCGCGGCTACGGTCTTGGCGGCCGTGGAGCAGATGATGGAGCTGCCTTGAGCTGCTCCTGTGTGTGCGTGTGCGTTTGTCAGAGAAGAGGCGTCTTGCAATACAAACAGAAGGCTGAGCGCGAGAGAGAAAGGGAGAGAAACAGACCAAAACGAAAAAAAAAAGGGACGAGAGAGATGAAGGTTGAACAAATTAAAACCTACCAGGGGAAAACCGACTGTATCACCTTTGTATGCCTCCATGCCCAGCAGCTAATAGAATCACTTCGTTTCCCGCTCCTCACCACAGCAGTCATTGATCTCAGAGAGTCAAGACAAGGGAAACATAAAGCGAAAAGAACAACAAGAACACAGAGATTCTCAAAACAAAAGGGGGAATATCTGTTTAGTTAAGCATTTTGTATAGTAGTGAGAAACCCCCACTTGGCGGTTGTGTGCTACAAACGAGAAACTGGTGAGAGAAAGGGTTGGCATTTCTGCGATGGGCCGTCTGCAGTCGCCTGTCGCGGAGGAATGCGTCGGTGTCGCGGAGAAAACACTCACAAGGCGGTTGGGGATGACCGTTGGCCGCACAAAGAAGCGCGAGCAGGCATCCGAAATTATATTCACCGCAAGTAAAGATAGACTGACTGAGATCATGACCGCTTTCTTCAAGGATTTGGTGCGGACGGCGTGTGGCTCAGAGCAGGGCACCACCAAAGTCGGTGCTGGCGACGTCACTGTGGATGCACGGAGTGAACTCCGCACCGTTCGCTTCGCCGATGCTGTTCGTGTGCAGAACTTCAACTTTGACGAGCTGCCGAACGACACCCCTGCCATCACGGCGGTGGCAGAGGCGACGTACTTCCGCTACCTCGTTAAGCACTCGGAACTTCAGGCCTATGTGGTGAAAGACTTCCCCAAGTGCATGACGGTGAAGGGGGCGCCGCGTCTTGATGCTGCCATTGCTGGCCACGTTATCTTCTCTCTGCTGGCAGGCGAGGGTGACGACATGATACTGCGCTTGTATGTGAAGGTTATTGACACTGTACTGGGGGCGATGTGCACGTCTTCCTTTGCCGGCACTGTCCTGCCCAAAAAGTGGAGTGAACTTGAACAGCTGGAGCCCGACCAAGTGGTGGATCTCCTCGAGGACGCGCAGCTGTCGATTAATGACTTTTGGAGTGACTCTCCGCAGGACGCACAGGCTCGTGCGCAGGTCGTCTTTCTCATGACAACTGTCGGCTCCGGGTTACGTGAGTACTTTGCAAAGAAAACAGTTACTGGTGGAGGAATATTCAGCGGCGGCAAAGGCCTCGCAGAGACGGCCCTCAGCTGCTGCGACGACTGGGTTAACATGTGCCAGAGGTTGACGCTTATTGATTGGGGTGCAGTGTGGGGTGGCCGCTTCGAGGACCCGCTGCTCGCGACGGTGAGGGACAGGCTTGGCGTCGCCGTCGCTATGCGCGACCTTGTGGACGAGATCGTTGAGCTCCTCAGCGCTGCCGGCGAGACGCAGTCACTGCGAAGGGATACCCTGTGGGAGGCGCTAGAGTGTATTGACATCTTCAAAACAACACCTGCGGTGGAGCAGCAGTGGGCGATGGGGCTCAGTACATTCTACCGGCGACTGGAGCCGATTGAGCACCGCTGCGCCGCCGCACTGCGCGACTTCTTTGGCGAGCGCGGCAACTTGGCTCCACAGACAATCCTCAGCGAGGTAGTGAAGTTCCGCCAGCTGATTCGTCGCCCCATTGTGGCGAAGGAACTCGTTAGTGAGCGCGACTCTCTTCTTGCGAAGCTAAATGAGCGACTGCAGAGTATCCGCATGGAGTTTGAGCACCGGGCGGAGAGCACTGAGGACGACTCGGTGCTCGAAGAAGATGACCGCCGCTGCCAGACCGGTCGCTTCATGCCTGGCGTAGTGAACAACATGATTTGGCTCCGTCAGCTGCGGGGACGTGTGGGGGAAATGATTCACATGTGCAAGTCACTCTTACAGGATCTGCAAAATGCGGAAGAGTTTATCCAGACAGCGGAAGTGCTTCTAGAGGATGTGAACGACTACGAGTTGGAGACATTCAAGCACTGGACAATGGACATCGAGGACAACAGCCACAAACTCATGCCAGATGCCACCGCCCCATTAATGGAAATTGATGAAAACGGGAAAATGGAGGTGAACTATCCCGAACGCCTTGTGCAGCTCATCCGCGAGGTGCGTGTATTCCGAGGTTTAGGGTTTCGTATCAGCAGTGACATCCAGAAGATGGTGGAGCTTGGCATTCGCTTTTATCGAAACGGAGTGACACTCAAACAGGTGGCAAGCACGTACAATTCCATGACGGAAGATATCATTCCGTCTACGCGCGCTATGCTACTAGAGCCTGCGTTGGCTTTTGAGAACATTATTACTGCCAGTGGAGACAGGAAACTGACGTGGCGAAATAAAGAGGATGCGGAGCGATTTACAGAGAGGTTGCGCAAAGCATCACAGTCCCTGACAGATGACAACCGTCGGCTCCACAGGTTACACAAGGAGATTGGATCTATTGTGGTGGATCTTTTCAGTGTCGACCTACTACGCTCACGTGAGCGGTGGATGGGTAAAGTGCATTTAATCCGGGAGAAGATGGAAACGTCGGGATTCAAGAACATGGAGTCGTGGAAACTATTCTGGGACATGCAGCTGTACAAAGCGATGGAACATCAATACCAGCTGGGGTTGGAGAGCCTGCATGAGGTTGTTGCGGAGATTAAAGCAGACGTCGTCTACGACCAGGAAACTGGGATGGCAGTACTTCGACCCTCATTGGAGATCATCCGTGCACAGTATTACCAGCGAATCAAGGATTTCATCACATTTCCGCTGCGGTTCCGCGGGTGTGGTAATAATGATTTCTTCAAGGAGATGCCAGCGTATAATGAACGTGGTATTTTCGCAGTTATGCAGCACGCCAGTCAGCTTTTCAAGAAGGTTCAGCAGGAGTTGAAGCGCTTTCATCCCATGCTAGTCATTGGAAAGTGTGGATGCAACGGGAATCCCTCGCTTGAGGATATTGTTGGGAAGGCACTGACGGAGGTGCAGCACTGGGAACAGAGCATACGACTACTGAAGCAGAAAGGGAAAGAGATAAACGCGGAGGAGCTTTTCATCAAGTGTGGCTGCATCACACTATGCACTGCCAGCATCAAGGGGACAGTTGAGGATCACTTGTACAAGCTCTCCGAGGCCCTGCGAATAACACTGCGTCGTAGCGCAGAAAACCACTTGAAGCGCATCGACGCATTCCTATCTGAGGTCTCAACCAATTTAGACGCAAAGCTGACAAAATTGGACGAAATTGGTGCGGCCAACATTCGCTATGCACAGCTGATGGAGGAAAGGCCAACAATGGAGGTACAGTTTTACCACTTCTACAACAAAAACATGCTGCTGCAGAGCATGACAAACCATCCTGGTATACTTTTTTCCAAGACAAAGGATGAATGGGACCGGGTAATGCGGCGATTAGATACATTTGAGCGGGAGATGGAGGATCAGATCAACCATATGAAGGAAGGTGTTGAGGATGCGGTAAAGAGCTGGCTTAAAAGTGTCGAGCGCTTTACCAATCAGTGGCACGAATTAAAGCCAAAAACTGCGGAATCCCCCAACGCTGTTCAGTATGTGAAAGAGTCCCAGGAACAGTTGAAAACACTCCAAGCCAATGGCGAGGAGTGTTTGCAGCAGTGCAAATATTTCCAGATGGAGGAGCCGGATATGGAGCCACTGCAGGACCTTGCACGTGATATTGAGGACTACGCGCTCATGTGGGGCATGGTGAGTTCCTTCCAAGAGGAGCTCAAGACATTGTATGCGGAGCCGTGGATCGCGCTGCGCTCGAAGCTGTACCGTTTTGACGACTTCCTGAAGATGTGGCAGGAGAAGCTACGAGAGCTTCCGGCCAACCCCATCACTGTGCATGTGCGCACACTGCTTGATGCGTGGGGCCGCTGCGCGCCACTCTTCAAATTTGTCCGTGGTGACGGCTTCACGCCGGGACACTGGACGGAACTTTTCCGCTTGTTGGGCATTAATAACGCCACACAAGACTCACTGATGTTCGGTGACATTCTGAATCGGCACGAGAAAATCCTCAAGCACGAAGTGGATCTTAAGAAGTTGCATTCACGTGCACAGGGCGAGGCTCAAATACGTGAGGCCCTTGATGACGTGCGGTCATGGGGGACGAACGCCACCTTTGCGCTCTCACCACACCCTGACCGTCCTGGTGTGATGCTCATCACGGAGTGGAAGGACACACTCTCAGCCCTCAGTGACAACCAGGCGCTTTTGATGAGCATGAAGGAGTCTCCATATTTTGGTATCTTCGCCAGTGATGCGAACAAGTGGGAGGAGCGACTCGCCTGCCTTGACGAGTACCTGCGTGTGATGAATCAAATTCAGCGCAAGTGGGTGTACCTCGAACCCATCTTCCGCCGCGGGGCACTACCACGGGAACAGGACCGCTTCGCTCGACTTGATGCGGAATATCTACAGGTGATGAGCACCATTGCGAAGGACAACCGTCTTGTCTCGCTCGCCACCCACACAGAGTATAAGGAGATACTTCACAATGTATTGGAGCAGCTGGACCGTTGCCAGCGGGCATTGAACCAATACCTTGAAGCGAAGCGTGACAGCTTCCCCCGTTTCTACTTCATCAGCGACGACGACTTGCTTGAAGTCCTCGCACAGAGCCGTAATCCCTCAGTGATCCAGTCTCACCTAAAAAAGCTTTTCATGGGTATTCACAGTGTTCGCTTCGATACACAAAAGGAACACATATTACAAATATTCTCAATTGAAGGGGAGTCTGTTCCTCTTGAAGAGCCTGTACATATCACAGAGGAAGTGGAGGAATGGCTTTCCGACTTGGATGTCGAGATGAAAGACACACTCCGGGCTCATTTGGTGCGCTGTCTTGAGAAGGTGGACATTGGTGCCTATTCGACACAGATACTCTGCACGGCAGGGATGATTGACTTTACCAGGAAGACAGAGGAGGCCATCCGCGATGCCAAGAGCGGCGGTCTCAAGAAGCATAAGGCAAATCTGCAGGCACAACTGCGAGACTTGACGGTATTCGCTGGCGGCAACAGCGATGTGGTGGTGGGGCTAAAACTCAAATCACTCATAATGGACCTTATTCACAACATCGAGGTGGTCGATGCACTTATTCAGAATGGTATTGAGAAGGAAACGGATTGGCTCTGGCGGAAGCAGTTGAGATATTATTTGGATCGTAACAACAACTGCGTGCTGCGCATGGTGGACGCCGAGTTCCAGTACAGCTACGAGTACCAAGGTAACGCCCCTAAGCTCGTGCACACACCGCTAACAGATCGCTGCTACCTGACCCTGACACAGGGTATGCAACTCGGCTACGGTGGCAACCCATACGGGCCGGCAGGCACTGGTAAGACTGAGTCAGTGAAGGCGCTCGGCAATGCCATGGGGCGGCAGGTGCTGGTGTTTAACTGTGACGAGGGAATTGACTTCAAGTCGATGGGTCGCATATTTACGGGACTGGTCAAGTGTGGTGCCTGGGGCTGCTTTGATGAGTTTAATCGCCTGAAGGTCGATCAGCTGTCGGCGGTGTCGCAGATGATTCAGGTGATTCAGGAAGCGCTCAAGAATGGCGAATCGTACTGCCATCTACTGGGGCGCGACATCGATGTAAACCCCAACGCTGGCATCTTTGTGACTATGAACCCTGCGGGGAAGCGGTACGGTGGACGTAGCAAATTGCCAGACAATCTAAAGCAGCTTTTCCGCTCCGTCGCTATGAGTGCACCGGATAACGAACTCATTATGGAAACCATTCTATTCAGCGAGGGTTTTGAAAATGCGACAGAATTGGCCAAAAGGACAGTGGAGGTGTTTAAACTCGCCAAGGGTTTACTTTCGTACCAGCAGCACTACGACTGGGGGCTACGTGCTATGAAGGCTGTCATGCGGCTCGGTGGTTCGTTGATTCATCAGTACTTAACGGACCGCGTTGGAGGAAAAGTGAAAGAGGAACCGACAGAGGTATTGCAGAAGGAGAGTGAGATTCTCATTAAATCTCTCCGTGTCAATACACTCTCCAAACTGACCTTTGAGGACGCAGCATTGTTTAACAACCTCATCGCGGATGTGTTCCCTGGTATTCCAATGAAGGAGATTGACTACGCGGAGCTTAGGCCTGCCATTGAAGAGTCCATCAAGGAGATGAAGTTGCAGCTCGTGGAGTCGCAGGTTCAAAAGATTCTGCAACTCTATGAGGCACTGAAGCAGCGTATGGGTGTTGTGCTGGTAGGACCAGGTGGTAGCGGTAAGAGTACGCTGCTGCGCGTCCTTCGGCGGGCGATGCAGCGACTCGGGGTTTCGGTGCCGCTCTATGTGATGAATCCCAAGGCAATGCCGCGCACTCAGCTTCTCGGCCATATGGACAATGATACACGTGAGTGGTTCGACGGTGTACTTACTGAGGCGGCGCGGAAGGTGGTGAAGGAGGAGAACACTGTGCGCTCATGGATTGTCTGCGATGGTGATGTGGACCCAGAGTGGGTAGAGTCCCTCAATTCTGTGCTGGACGACAATAAGTTGTTGACTATGCCAAATGGTGTGCGCATTCAGTTTGGCGATAATGTGAACTTCCTATTTGAGACCCACAACCTCGAATTTGCGTCACCGGCCACAGTGTCACGCATGGGTATTATATACCTCTCAGAGGAGGACGTGGATCCAAAGATGATGGTTGCCACGTGGCTACTGGATCAACCGGACGAGTCCCGTGAGCAACTGCGGTGCTGGATCAACGAATACTTCTACAAGGCCATTGACAGCCTTCTGGAGACGGGCAAACTCATTGTGGAGACGACTCGGACCGGTCTCGTCGCCTCTGGACTCAGCCAGTTACAGCGCTGCAATAACAAATTACAGTTTACACTTGCACTTGTTTATGGCCTGGGCTCGTACTTGCCGGAGGAACATCGACGGGACTATGCGAAGGATATTCACTACATGACAGGGGAACGAGTCCCCGACCCAAAGAACTCGCTTAACGTCTACTATGATACCCAGTCCGATGGGTACAAGATGTTTGAGTTTCAGTCCGCCTTCGACCTCGCGGTGGAAGACCTCTACCGCCATCCGATGATTGCCACCATCGATTGCCAGCGAAATATGGAAATTATGCAGGCGTGGACGCGGCCGCTGCGGCCTGGTGTCTACCGTCCTTTTATTATTGTTGGGCCCGAGGGATGCGGTAAAACGATGCTTCTCAGCAACTTGTTCAAGGGCATCGCCAACACACGTGTGTCAACCGTGAATTGCTCTGCTCAGACTGAGGCGGTGCACGTCATTCAGAAGCTGAAGCAGACATGTCAGATGTTTAACACAAACCAAGGGCGTGTGCTGCGCCCTAAAGACGCGGAACGCCTTGTGCTGCTTCTAAAGGATATGAATCTCCCTAAACCCGACAAGTATGGGACTGTGCAATTGCACTCGCTCCTGCAGCAAATTATTCTATACAACGGCTTCTATGACGCTGATTTGGAGTGGATCACGGTGGAGCGAGTGCAGATTGTTGGAAGCATGAATCCGCCCGGTAGCATGGGCCGTTACCCCGTCGCCCCACGTTTCCTCGCCATTGTGTCTGTGCTCGCCATGTCGTATCCGACACGTGACTCCATGCAATCCATCTATTCAGAGTTCTTTAACATCATGATTCAAAGTCACCAGTTGCACTTTAATTTACCTGGAAAAGGTGCAGCTGATATTGCACGTGTTATGACGAACGTCTACGAGGCCATTTCTACCCGCTGCACTGTTGACGTCGCTTCACACTACATCTTCAACCCGCGTGACGTCACCACGTGGGCGCTCAACCTGCTCAACTACAAGTCATCCGATGTGCCGGACGCCATCGGTTATGAGGGTCGGCGTATCTTTATTGATCGCCTTGTCTCACCAGAGGAACGCACAAAGCTTTTCAAATTAATTAACGACAATTTACAGTTCCTGGTGGACCGCAGAGGTAGCTTAATGGAGAAGGAGGTGACATACTATGTCTCGTGGATGGATGCCTCATCGCCGATGCCGTCAGTATCATCGTCATCAGCATCGAGGATACGGAAGCTCGCTGCCACAAGCATGGAGGAGCTCAAGAAGGCAGCAGAGAGCCTTGTCCTCAGTTATTCCAGAGAGTTTGCAGAGTTGGATGTGCAGCTCATCCCGGAAGTATGCGCGTGGGTGGCACGCATCGACCGTGTCTTATCGCAGGAGCGTGGTAACCTCTTGCTTGTTGGTCGATCTGGTGTCTGTGCGGCTGCGATTGTCCGCCTTGTCGCGTATAGCCTTCGTATGGAGGTTGTCACGCTGTCCATCACACGGGACTATGGCATGAAACATTTCAATGCGGAACTTAAGTCCGTCATGTCGAAGGCTGGTGTTGAAGGACAACATGTTGTGTTGCTCCTGGAGGATCACCACTTGAGCAGCAACCCTCTATTCCTTGAGATCATTAACTCACTGTTGTCGTCGGGCGAGGTGCCCGGCCTCTTCACGCACGAGGAGTTGGAGGCGCTGCTCGGCCCTCTGAAGGAGGAGTCAGTTGGCGAGGGCATGAGTCCGTACGAGTACTTTGTTGACCGCATCGCGCGTATGCTACATGTGTGTGTTGTGATGGATCCGACAAGCCCAAAGTATGAGCTGCAGTGCCGCTCCAATCCAGCTCTATACACACGCTGCAACGTGTACTGGATGGGGACGTGGCACAGCGACAGTCTGAAGCTAATCCCACGGCTCATGATGCGAGACGTCTTCAAGGCGATCGATACACGGGAGGACAAGAAGGATTTTAGCCTTACCACAGAGATTGTGCACATCCACCGCGGATTTGCTGACAAGTTCTCCCCCCAGCACTTTAAAACGCTATGCCTCACCTACCAACGCATCTTCAATGAGAAGAGCAGCTCCATCGCAGATGGTCTCACCCGCCTTCAAAGCGGCGTGTCGAAACTCGATGAGGCGAAGGAGAACGTTGACCAAATCGCCTCTGACGTTGCAGACAAGAAGAAATTGATGGAAGTAAAGCAGCGCGAGGCTGACGAGGCGTTACAGGAAATTCAAACCAACATGGAAGATGCTAGTGACCAGAAAAAGAACATCCAAAAAATTCAAAAGGGCCTCGAGAAGGAACAGAAAGCCATTGAGGAACGTAAGAGTGTCATTGAGGATAAACTCAGTGGCATTCAACCAACACTTGATGCTGCCCTCGCAGCGGTACGCTCCATTCGTTCTGAACATTTGTCAGAGCTAAAGTCAATGAAACAACCCCCAGCTGCTGTTCAGGATGTCATGGAGGGGGTCGTAATTCTAACCGATAGTGGTCAGAGCAGCGAAACAAACTGGGCGGCTATTCGGAAGGTACTCGCGGGCGATATTAAGGGTCAGATCCTCAACTTTGACCTCGATAACGTCAATGAAGGCGTGCGCAATAAGGTGGAGCGCTTCATGCAGAGCCACGAAAATTCCTTCCGACGCGAGGTGATTGGCCGCGCGTCAAAAGCGGCAGCGCCAATGGCAGAGTGGCTTAAGGCGGTGTTAGAGTACAGCAAGGTCCTCGAGACGGTGGCGCCTATGCGGGAGGAGCTGCGAGGCTACGAAGCGAACCTGAAGGCTGGTAACGAGAAGAAGCAGAAATACGAGAAGAAGCTGGCCAAGGTAGAGGAGCGTGTTGAAGACCTCAAAAAAAAGTTTGGCGAAAAGACAAAGGAAGCGGAGCGACTCAAGGACCGCGTGGAGCAGGCGGAGCGGCTCTACGCAAGCGCACACGACCTCCTTGAGAAACTCGCGAGCGAGCACGATCGGTGGGCGGCACAGAGCAAAGCCATACGCGCAGACCAGCACCTGCTTCCGAAGCGCTGCCTCCTTGCCGCAGCGTTTGTACTCTACCTCGGCAACGAGGCAGAAGATGTGCGGCGCCGCACAATGGAAGGGTGGAAGGAGCGCTTAAAGCAAGTCAATGACTTTAACTTCTTCACCTTCCTACGGCCAGAGAGCATGCAGCTTCGCTACAAGGCGGAGGGACTACCGGGTGATGAACTCTCAATGGACAACGCACTGCTGATACAGGAGCAGGTGACGACACCGCTGATTGTTGATACCTCCGGCCAGGCTGTGAGCTGGTTGCTCAACAGTCTAAAGGGACGTGGGGTCGCAGTGGAGGTGTGCAGCATCTCTGACGAGCGCCTTGTGTCTGCGCTTGAGTTGGCTCTTCGATTTGGCAAGAGTTTCGTCCTCACGGATGTGGACCAGCTGGAGCCATTCATGTACCCACTGTTCCGAAAGGAGTTGCGCACTGAAGGGACGAAACGTGTCATTCAAATTGGTGATCGCCGCACTGTGGACTACGCCGACGGTTTCCAGCTGTACCTCGTTACACACTCTGGCGACCTGCGTATTCCGCCAGATGTGCTAAGTCACCTGACGCCTATCAACTTCTCCATTACGCTGAGTGGCCTTGAAGGACAATTCCTTGGGGCAACGATTCAGCACGAGCAGCCAGAGTTGGAGAAGGAGAAACTGGAGGTGCTACAGAAGGAGGAAAAACTAAAATTACAACTGGCCAATCTCGAGGAGTCGTTACTAAATGACTTGGCCAATTCGAAAGGATCACTGCTGGAGAATAAGACGTTGATAGACTCGCTTAATGAAATCAAGACACAGGCTGCTGAAATTGCGGAAGCCCTGGAAAAGTCAAGGCAAGTGCAAGAAGAGATCGACACAAAGCGTAATGTGTATAGGCCCTTCGCCACAACTGCCAGTGAGACGTTTTTCATTGTTAAGAGCCTCAATGGTCTCTCGCACATGTATCAGTTCTCCTTCAACTTCTTTATGGGTATTTTCCATGACACTTTGCGGCGCCACGCAGAGGACCACACCGACGCTGAAACTAAGATTGAGGCTCTGAAGAAGACTTTTGTGCGTCTTGTTGTTTCATCGGTGTCTACGTCATTGCTGAAGGAGCACCGACCCGTCTTTGGTATTCATCTTGCCCGTTCACTTTACCCCAATGAGTGCACGCCCGCCGAGTGGGATTTCTTCCTTGACCGTGTTATTGCATCTGAGGTGAAGAAGAATGAGGTTCACGTGCCAACATGGGTGTTGCCCGATAGCAAGGACCTCTTCCGCTCTTTTGCCGTGCTGTTTGAGTCGCTGGTATCAAAGATGAATCTACGGGAGGCAGACGTGTGGCTACAGTGGATGCGCGCGACAACGCCGGAGGTGGCGTACCCAAGCTTCATTGCGAAGTTGACAAATTTCCAGCGGTTGCTCATCGTGAAGGTGCTCCGGGGGGATCGACTCATCGCTGCGGTGAATCGCGTTGCCTGTGAATTGCTGCACGTGAAATCATGGGGCGACAACAACACATTGGCTTCCTTCATCAAGCGCACCGAGGCAGGCACGCCCGTTTTGCTCATCACAACAACGGGTGCGGACCCCTCACAGGAGCTTCAGGGCATTGCGCACCGCAAAGTCGGCCGTGAACGGTTCCATCAACTGGCAATGGGTGGTGGACAGACGGAGGAGGCGATTCGATTGCTCCGTGCCTGTGTAGAGAAGGGCGATTGGCTTTTCCTAAAAAATCTGCACCTTGTGATCCCGTGGGTGCCGGTGCTGCAAAAGGAGTTTAATCTCCTTAAACCGGACCCTAACTTCCGCCTATTCCTTACAAGCGAGACCCACGAGGAGTTTCCATCGATTCTTCTGTCCCAAAGTCTAAAGATCACCTTCGAGGCTCCACCAGGTGTACAGCAGAACCTCCTCCACACGTACAAGGATTGGGAAGTCGCTACCTATGAGGCGAAGGGGACACAGAGAGCGGAGTTACTCTTCATTGCTGCTGCATTCCACGCCATTATACAGGAGCGGCGTTCGTACGTTCCCCAGGGATGGTCGAAGTTGTACGAAGTGACCTCCGCCGATCTCAAGTCCGCCGCGGATATTGTCTTGCAGCAGGTGAAGAACGACATAGACTGGCGCGCCATTCGTGGCATCCTGGAGAGCGCCATCTACGGCGCCCGCATGGAGAGCGACTACGACCTGCGTATCCTGCAGGCATACACAGAGCACTTTTTCAACTCTACCGTCCTTTCGAGTGCGAAGCGGCAGTGTAATCTCTTTGCTTCTGTGCGAGTGCCGGGAACCGGGAAGCATGCCGACTGTGTTAAGGTCATCTCGGGCCTCCCTGACAGCGATGTGCCGATGTTGTTTTCGCTCCCACCGAATGCCGATCGAGTAGTGCAGCTATCGAAGGTGCGTGCGCTGACGGACGATCTGCAGCGCCTCAACGAGGCCAGAGCGGAGGCGTCGCTGACGCGGGAGGAGTGGACGAACCGCCTGATGCCCGTCCTAAACACATGGTCAGAGTTGACGTTGCCGCACTCTAACTTGCTGACACGGTTAACGAGTGTGCCGCGTGAAGTGTCTCCCATTGTGGGCTTCGTGAGCGCCGAGATGGCGTCGTCGCTTCGGCTCGTGTCGCTCGTGGACGAGTCACTCAGCGAGCTGCGCCGCGTGACGGAGGGCACGGCGCTGCTGATGGAGAACCGACGCGCTGAGGCAGCGGCGATGATTGCAGGGGAGGTGCCACCGCACTGGGATGGCTACTTCCACGGCTCGCCGCGCATTCTGCCCTGGCTGCAGTCGCTACTTCATCGCGCCACGACCATTACGGAGTGGCGCCATATGGCGATGAGTGGGGAGCTAGTTGAAGCATCACTCAACATCTCCAGTCTGTTCCGGCCGCAGACATTCTTTCACGCGCTTCGGCAGGAGACGGCACACTCTATGCACGAGCCCCTTGTCTCGCTGCAGTTTGTCGCCTCTGTCTCCTCTCCACCTCCAGGTGCACCGCTTCCGGTGTGCTTGGAAGGGCTGCTGCTGCAAGGCGCCGTCCTCGATGCATCGGACATGATGCAGCCGATTGAGACAGCTGACGAGGCGGCACTCTTCTCATTACCGAAGGTGTACGTGGCGTGGATGTCAAAGCCACCAGAAGTGGGAACCTCTGTCGCCGTTCCATTGTACACTAACACAACGAAGGAGAAATTCATCATGGAGTTTTCTCTGCCATGTTCCAGCGATGTTGCTGCAAGGGCGTTTGTTTTGGCGGGTGCCTCACTCTTCCTAGAGCCATAACTCTGGTTCCCCATGTAATAGAGCATGAAGCGTTTAGAGCAGAGGTTTGTTGTTTTACTGCGTTGGGCTTGTTTTTGTACCCGGTCTGCAGGGTTAGACATATACCTCCTTTTGACGTTGTTGGCATATGTTTGAGATTTTTTTTTTATATTCTGGGCTCTGTGGCTTGGTGCCTTTAAAGGTTCTCTCCCTCTCTCTCTCGCTTGTGGTGCTTCTCTTGAGTTGGTAGAGATGTACGGGAATTCGGGGCCGCCGAAGAAGTACAGTACTCCGCGCGATGTTGGCGAGAATTCGCAGGCGCGACGTGTGTGCCAGAAGTGCGCATCGACAGAGCATTGGACGTTCGAGTGCAAAGATGCTGATAAGGCTGTGCGCAACACGGCGGCACGCCTGAGCAGGACACAGATGCTCCGGTGGGGTATCAAACAGCGGCGGCGCGAGTTTGTGCCGGAGCCGAGTGAGCGGGAGACGTACAGCGCACAGGTGAAGAAGGTGGGGAAGCTGCTGCTCGCCGAAGCGTATGAGGAGGTGCGGCAGAAGCGACGACTGGAGCAGCAGCCACTGGTGAAGGTGGAAAAGGAAGAGGAAGAGGGGACTAACAGAAGGAGCAGCAGCAGCAGCCAAAGAGAGATCAAGCAGGAGGTGAAGATGGAGGGCAAGAGCGAAGACTCTGGCAGGGAAAGGGTGAAGAAGGAAGAGGAGGCTGACAGCTGAGATGTGTGAGGAGGCCGCACTTTCCTCTCTGCTGCTCCTGGATGCCTGTTGTGGTGCATCTTCTTCTCTCTGTGTGTTTATGCATTCGTGGTTTTACCTCTCCGTCCACAAAACTTGCGCTTCAATGCATTCTTTCTCTCTGTCTATCTCTCACTCTCTATTATTTTCCTGTGTTCTTCTTTTTGTTTTGTTTCCGAAGCCGCATCGACACGGGGTAGGGGGTGGAGGGATGATACGGCGCACCCCCACGAGAGCAAAGTGGTTCCGGATGAAGCGGCTGGCGGCGGCAGGGCTGCTGGTGTGGTTGTTCGTGCTACTGCTCGCTGATTACTACCTCACTCACCTCTCGGCAGCGAACATGACTGCGGCGCGGAACGAAATAAACAGCCTGGTGCTTCCACCACCACCACCCGAAACAACAACAACGACAACAGCAGCACCAGCAACAACGACGACAGCCGCAGACGCACCTGAGGCACGCGGTGCGGGGTCGGATATTCCGCCAGAGTTCGCCGAGGCGCTGCAAGTGTTTGAACGAAACTTGGGCGTCGTGGACGGACTGCAGGGGAACCCCGAACAGCCGACGCGCGACTTTACGGACATTGTAGAGCCTCCGGGAAACGGGGTGCCGCTTCCGCACGATGCCAGTCGCGAAGTGGACGCGCGGCAGTGGGAGGCGTGTGACCAGCGCGACGCAGACTTCACACCGGCCCGCGACGCGCTCTGCCAGGCGTATCTTGGCGATCTGAATAACATGCGTTACATCAAGGCCATGTCGTCCCGACTTCTCCAGGGCAGGACTATCAAGTTCAAGGTACACTACGCGCACAATGGCATTGAAGCCATCGTGAAGGTATCGCAAAAAAAGTTCTACTTTGAGGCCACAAGCGAGTACTTGGCGTTTTCTGTGGACCGCGCCCTCAACTTCTCGCGCATTCCCACGTCTGTCTTTGTGCCGCTACCACTTGACTACATGAAGGCCGCCACAGCGTACTCAGTGCTGTTCTCTCAGTGGATTGACCGCTATGTGTTTCAGTACAATTACACAAGGCGCAATTTTGTCCCCTGCAGCTATCCATTGTGGGCTGATGCCAATCGAGCGCCGCTCTGCGCGCATGTGACTATTCAGCTGTGGATGTACGACGTGCACCCCGCCCTTGCGACGTTCTTGGCGCTGCCGTACGAGTATGACAGTTCGTTCGCGGCGAAGTATTACACTCCAGGCCACAGACTTTGGCCACCAAAGAAATCACGGCTTCGAGCTATCGGCGATATACATGATCGCTTTATTTTTGATTTCCTTATCGGCAACACCGATCGAGGGATGAATGATCATAACAACTTTGTTTACGGTGGTTGCAGCTACAAGACGACATGTGAGCGGTCTCCCAAGGAGGAACGCATCAAAGGAATGGCAAAGTATGCTTTTCTTGACCACGGCAGCAGCTTGTACTCGCACAGGGAGCCGAAGGATAACGCCTTCTTTGGTGAACTCGAGCGCATTCCAATTTGTCGATTTCGACGCAGCACGTACAATGCCATGCTTCGCTACCGGGAGACGAACCGGTCACACTCAACTGTGCCTCTAGTGATGGAAATACGCAAAACATTGTCCCCCTACATATTCCGTGTCACGCATCTCTCTGTCTTTGAGAAGGTACAGACACGGCTGGAAAAGATTCTGCGCCTTGTCGAGCGCTGCCTGGAGCTCCACGAACCTGAAGATGTCTTCAGCCTCCCCGCGTACTGGGAGATACCGGTCCCGGAGGAGGCGGAAGATATCGCCGAGCTGGGCGCGCAATTTTGAGCCGTGCAAACTATCCTTTGGACTACACACATATGCGGGAGTGGGTGGGACGCGCATATGCTTCTTTATGACACTGAAGCGTCCCCTGTCATGCCTATGAGAGAATCATTCCAGCTGCTCTCACACCTCAAGGGAACACATCTGTCAGTGGATGCCGCGACTGTTATACTATTATCCACCTGTCTCTCTTTCTCTCTCTTCCTCCCTCTCGATATCCGCCGTCGTCTTGAATAAAGTGCAGCATTATATCTATATAGAACACAGACCCACATCGCAAACGTACACACATAGCTGTGAGTACCTGGGAAGTGAAAGAGTGAGTGAAGAAGAGGGACAACGAGAGAAGTGGTGAGAACACACACACGGACAGACAGGCAGGCGGACGCAGCATGGACTTGGCTGCGTGGGAAGAGAAGGTGCGCAGGATGGAAACGCTCGAGTTTCACGAGATGCGGCTGCTCCTCAGCGCTGTGATGGATCTCCTTATCGACGAAAGCAATGTACCGAANAAACGCTCGAGTTTCACGAGATGCGGCTGCTCCTCAGCGCTGTGATGGATCTCCTTATCGACGAAAGCAATGTACCGAACGTGCCGCTTCCGGTTACGATATGTGGGGACATCCACGGACAGTTCCCTGACTTGCTGCACCTCCTCTCCCTCGCTGGAGAGATTGGCTTGACCAGCATGCACTACATATTTCTTGGTGACCTCGTCGACCGTGGTTACAATAGCGTGGAGGTGCTCACCTTCCTCCTCATCATGAAGGTGAAGTACCCGCGGAAGATCACTCTCATCCGTGGAAACCACGAAACCCGGCAGGTGACGACAACCTACGGTTTTTACGATGAATGCAATAGAAAGTACAATACAACTGAGGTCTGGCGACAGTGCACAGAGGTGTTTGACTGCATGCCGATTGCCGCANACGATGAATGCAATAGAAAGTACAATACAACTGAGGTCTGGCGACAGTGCACAGAGGTGTTTGACTGCATGCCGATTGCCGCACTGATTGAGGGTAGGGGCCTGTGTATTCATGGCGGCCTTTCGCCGGAGGTGCGCACGGTTGATCACATCCGTTTGCTGAACCGTAGACAGGAGATACCGAACGACGGCCCCTTCTCCGACCTCGTCTGGTCAGACCCTGGCAACATCGACGGCTGGGGTGTCTCCCAGCGTGGCGCTGGTCACTTGTTTGGGGCTAACGTTGCCCGCGAGTTCATGTACCGAAACAGGCTAAACTTGGTGGCGCGGGCGCATCAGCTGGTCCAGGAGGGCTTTATGTACCACTTTGACGAAGAGTTCATCTGCACGGTGTGGTCCGCGCCAAACTACTGTTACAGGTGCAAAAATCTGGCGAGTGTTCTCCGTGTACATGAAGATGAATCACGCGAGTTTCTTGTGTTCAGGGAAGTGGAACGACAGTACGAGGAGGACGGCCCAGAGCAGGTGCAGCCATTCTATTTTTTGTAGATTGGCCCTACCCCCCCCAAAAAAAACAAACAAACAAACAAACAACAACAACAGGAGTAAAACATATGATGCGCACAACCTTTCAACTTCTTGGTCGGCAGTGGTGTGGCCTGGCCGTATTGGAAGGCGTTGACACACAAATAAAGGAAAAGAAAAGACATTATACGATTCAACTTTTCAAGTTGGTTTATTGCTATTCGTTCTTTTCCCCCCTTTGCAACACCCTTTTTTGGGGGGTGCGTTTGCGCGGCCAACACACCGAGGGGGAGAATTAGGCGGATACTCCTGCTGCAGTTTGGTCGCGGCACGCGGCAGTCCGCCGCCTCCTCAACCGGCCAGCTGGAAACAAATCTCTTCATGGATGTTGCACGTATTCTTGTACATAGTTGACCAGTCTTGGAGCTGGAGACTTTTTATATTCAGTGGTTTCTGCGGTATTCGCAGCTGGTCACACAGGAGGAACAGCGCCAGCTGTTGTAGATTCGGCTCGCGGGGAGTGGGCCCGTGTCTCCGCTGGCAACCTATTTTGACATATTGTCTCTGCGGGCGCGTTGTGGGACCCCGTTAACTTGGTAGGGGTCTCTCCTTGAGCTGCGGGGGATCGTCGATACGCCATCTGGGTGTGTGACATCTGGACGTTGCCCCCCTCTGCGACAACCTTTGGGAGACTGATGTGCTTCTTTGCCTGGCTTTCGTCCGTGCGAACTTGATGGTGGTGGAACGCTCACCAATCAAACACACACACACACACACACACACACACACACACCGACGTCTACCTTTGGCTTACGGGTTTGTTTGGAGAGGTTTGGCGTTGGATCTCCAGGCTCCTTACTTGTTACAGCTGCGAGCACCCCCTTGGATGGGTGAAATCTCATAGCTGCAGTTGCTTATGCGCACTTTCGTTGAAAGGAAAGGGCTGCAGCTTTTTTTTTCTACAAAAATATTTTTACTGCTCCTTCTGCCTTTTACATTTATTACTGGGCGATTGCGTTTGCCAAGGCACCGGCTGTGATGACCCCTTGCCTCTGCATTTGTTCTCTCACCACTTATTTTTTCCCGTCAGACTCCATCCTTCCTTGTGGCTCTCCAAAAAAACAAAGAAAAAAGGGTCGTTGCTACCAAGGCATGTTGTGCCCACAGCTCTTGGAGGCCGCGAAGGGATCGTCGCTTCTGCTTGCGCGCGACGTACAACTCCCACAAGAGCATGTGCGAGCCGCGTTTGAATCGATTCGTGCGGGTGAGCAAGGATACGAGGTGCTCTACACTGTCACGGGTAACAACAACCGCGCAACGGATATTGTTCTCTGCCGTGACGCGCAGGAAGCAGCTAAGGTGCAGGAGTCAATTGACGGCGCGCACGTTGACGTCTATGCACTGTTGCACCAAAAGAATGTAGCCGACGTGCACCCACGGCGGTCACCGCCTGCTTTGGCACCGAGGGGTGCGCTGTTCCGCCGAGAGTACCGAGTTGTGACGCGGGAGGAAGCGGAGGCGCGCGCGGCTACAGGCGCAAAAGCACCACCGGAAGTTGTGCCGTTGGGTGAAACACCGCCACCTGCTCTGGCACCGCTGAGTAAATCCCCAGTGAGCGAGGCGCCACAGACCGCAGAGCGTGTAGAGACGCCGGCTGCACTGGTGAGGCTGACGGCTTACGAGGAGATCGCGGCTCGTGGACCGGCAGCCGTGCCAGAGAGGCCCAAGCCCGCCCAGAGGGAGGCCGGGGAGAAGCGACAGAAGACACTCTTCGGCAGTCCAGTGGGTGGCGTGAAGCACGCCCGCCCAGCCGCCGGGCAAGCTACCAAGGCGGAGCCAAAACAGAAGAAGACCAAGGCTGCGACCCCAAAGGCGGAAAAGAGCGCAGGCACCACAAGCCTCATGAAGTTGGCCAAGGCATCGACTAAGAGGGATAGCGGCAACAACAACGCGGGCTTTACAGCCACCACCATGACCAAAACTATCGGAAAGGGTTTCCTTGACGAGGATGAAGAGGAGAATCACCGCGATAGCAGTTGTGGCAGCAGTAGAAGTGATTCATCACGATGTGACGAAGGCTTTCTCGAGGATACTGGGCCTGTCCTTGATGTCAATCTCACAGTAACGACGAACGATGACATTATCATTTGTGACGATGCACCGCCCATGGTGTTTCGCGCCGCTGAACCTGTTTTTAATGCAGGAAAGAAAGAACCCAACTACCAGCAACAACAACAAAAGAAACAGTGTGATGGCGCTGGTGGTAATGCCCAACCGAAGCTCACAGGATTCTTTCAGCAAGAGGTTGTGGCCTTCCAGAAGGCGTACACTCGCGAAGTGACGACCGACACTGTCTTTGAGAATGGAGAATATATTTGCAAGGACGTTGTGAGCTACCGCCAGAATGAGAGCAATGAAATCATTTCAGAGGAGGAGTATCATAGAAGAAGCGCGGAAATCATGTGTCGTTNTCAGGAGGCCGCACAGAAGGCGCATCCTAATAGAAGCAATACCTCATCTTCGAGCACTGGCGATGCCACAGCGGCCTCTGTGGAGGCCGCGAGGGGCAGCAGGCCACCTAAGATTGAGAAGCAAGTAAGATCACAACCAAAGACGCTCATATCATACTTTAACACAGCATCGTCGTGATGTGAGTCAAAAGGAGTTACATAATGAGTTATAGAGCAATCCCATAGATGCTGATTCTGTTCTTCAAGACGCGAAATACGAAAAAAAAAACATATATATTTTTTTTTCGGTTTGCCTCTCGTTGGCATGTGTGTGTGTGTGTGTATGTGCTGTGTGGGTGACTCTCCATATATATATATATATTGTTTTTCCCTCCCCTGTGGCTCACCGTCGTTCCCCCCTTACTCCCTTTTCTGCCTTGGAGGAAGAGGAATGCTAGGGGGATGAACAAGCAGCTTCTGCAGACGCTTCCCCTGGCGAAGGGGAAAGACATCCACAACCGAGTGGCGAAACTGGCGCTCTACAAGGAGTGCATCGCCCTTGCCATGAGTGTTGGTGACCCACTCGTGCGGAAGCACACGCTGGCGGAGGTGAGGGAAAAGTGGACGCAGAGCCGCGGTGACGGTGGGCAAACACTTCAGTTGCAAATAGCGAGCGCGCTTGATCGTATATCATACGGCCGTATGTGCGTCTCAAAGCAGCGCCTGCGGCTAATCCCGAACGCCAGCGAGAAGTACGACTGGGACGTCGTCAACCCCCTTGAACACCACGAGCGCCGCATCCGCAAGCGTGCGGAGAAGGAGAACCCTGACGCATTTCCGCACGGCGAGGGGAAGCGTGACTTCGTGCCCATGACAAACTGGGGCTACGCCAACATGGACCCCGACGCCGTCATGCGGCACAAGGAGCTGACGGACCGGCAGCACTTCATGGGGCCGCACTGGCGCAACAAACCGAAACCAATGATCCTCGAGGACCTCAGTTTCGAGGAGCAGCTGCACGTGCAGTTTCAGAGCAAGCCGAAGATGAAGAGGACTCCAAAGAAACACTATTGAGAAGGGTTTTGCTGTTGTTTCTTTCTGTCCTTGCTCCGGTTCTGCTATTGACGCATATTAACGCGTGCTCACGCACTTCAGTTTGTGTATCTTTCAGTCTGTATGAGTGTGCTGTTCTACCAGCGATGCCTCCCTGGGGTCTTTTCTCCTCTTGAACTTTTCCCTTCGTTCATGCAGTTCCGTGAAGAGCGAGTGATGAGCCAGGCTAGCTGGGTGAAGGATCAGCTCCTCAATCAGGGGGCGAATCACTTCGTCATCTTCTCATCCCTAGGCCAGGTGCTGGAGAGCAGCGGGGACTTCCAGGATCAGGAGAAGCAGCTGCTGGCGTATACAATAGTGCAGCAGGCCTCTGCTCTGCTAAAGTCTGGAGAGACACTGAAACGCATCTCCATGACATTTGACGATGTTGTATACATCGCCACAACAATCACAACACATGGTGAGAACCTTGGTATCTTCGTAAAGAGACCTGCGGCTGATGCGCTGACGTCAATATAACTGTGCACCTTCCGTGCTTCTTGACGTACCGCAATCTTGAGAGGCTTTGAGTTGGAGCTTGGGTTAGGTTGGAGTGACAGAAGCATGAATGCTGAATTGCCTTCCAGTTTGCTGCCACAACTTTTTTCTCTGCCCATTTCTTTTTTTTGTTATTCTTATTCTCCTTTTGTTTTTGCGTGTGCAATTCCCTTCATTGCGTGCGTATGCTTGGGTCTGTTTGTGCGTGCTCAGTATGACAAGGAGGGACGAGGCTTGGACCATTTGTAGTGTGTGGTGAGAATGGAACATTACGCCCTTATCGACGCAGTTCGCGGAAAAACGGAGCCGCTGCGGGTGGGAAAGAATCTCATTGGGCGGAGCTGTGCCCACCGTGTCGACGGTGCATCGTTCATTGGTTTAGAGTCCCCCAACGGCGCAGTGAGCCGATTGCAGGCCATCGTTGAGCTTGCGGAAAATGGTGATGCGTGGATTAGTGATTGCAACAGCACGAATGGGACATTTGTGGCCGTCAAGGAGGGACTTGGCATTCGACTTCAACCGGAGCGCTTCTACCAACTAAAACCGGGCACACGTGTCACTTTCGGTGATGCGGAAATGGTCTTCGACGACAACTGCGTGTTGAGCGATGCGTGCACGCGGAGGAGTGGTGTGCCCGCTCAAACGCCGTGCTCGTTAAGCACAAGTTTCGCCACACTCCCGGGCGGCGCGTGTGGAGAACGCGTTGGTGGAGGCGATGGCTTACGCCTCTCCGCTGCTCTAGCTCCTTCGGTTGATGTTGCTGCGACAGAGGGATTGAGCGCCGAGGTGGAGGCACACGCAAACACCACTGCAGCATGCGACTCGCACGAAGGTGCATCAGGTATGAGCACAAGTGGGCGCAATGAGTCCACACCGTACCTCGACGAGGTGCGAAAAAACAACAGAAAGAAGAGAAGTCGTTCTATCTGCGATGCGACGCCGCACGGATGCATCAATTCTTCGACCACCGCTTCCATCGTTTCTCCTTCTCCTCATCCTCCGCCTGCTGCAGCTGCTGCTTCTGTGCAGCGACTGCGGCGGGTGTGCTATTCGGGCATGGACGCAGAGGCGAAGGGCCGCGCGCAGAAAGTGGCGCGGCGGAATGGCTGGTGCACAACGGACTCTGTCCTCGACGCGGATGTTCTCATCGTTGCTTCCCCAGCTGCGCGGACGCCGAAGTTTCTCGTCGCCGTCGGCCGCGGCATTCCTGTGGTGACGGAGGCGTTCCTGGAGGATGGGGATGTGACGAGGCTGGAGAAGTACGTGCCGTCGCTGAGCCACGGCCCCAACGCTTACAGCGCGGAGGACCTCCGAAAAGTTGTCCATCGCAGCTGCAAGACGCCACTCCTGCAGGGGATGTCGTTTCAGCTGGGCGCTCTACCACCAAAGGCACGCAGTGTAGCGCGCGAGGTCATCACCGGTTGCGGTGGGGATACTTCGCGCCGCCAGCCGCAGGACACCGTGCACCTCACAGAGGAGAGCCTCGACAAGTTGTACGATGCGGTGCTGCGCGGCGAGCGGCCGTGAGGTATAAAGAAAGCAATACACACAGACCAGCCAATCAACAACAACCCCCCCTCCCTCCCAAAAAAAAAAAATGTGTGTGATGGTCATTGGTGGCTGTATGCATCTTCTCCAGCGCGTTTCTAAATTGTTTTCTACTGCTGCTTGTTTGCTCTCTTTGTTGCTAATGACTCCTGTGAAATGCAGTGTAGGAGAAGGCTTCGTTGCTGGCCTTTGTTTTTTCCTTCTAATTGGTTCAGTGGAATTTCATAAATCCATGCGGAAGCGCGGGCGTTCTCTCTCTGATGTGTCCGGTTCCATCGACGTGCTTGTCTCCTGCACACGTGTTTGCGCAGTGAGTGCGAGCCCGTTGGTGTCGCGTAGCGGCGATGATGGCGACTCGCAGAGCATCGGCAGTGACGCCGCTCGCATGCAGGCGGTTTCCAACTTGAGTGCCGACCAGATGGACTCCCAGAAGAGCGCGGCGAATGCCTTTACAACGGAGATGAGCTTCTTCAGCAGGGTGGAGGAGGACATTGCAGACATGTGTGTCTACTTGGCGCGGACCGTCTCCACGGCACGGACCCACGACGCCTTCGTCTCACTGGTCGAACACTTTGTGAAACACGGCCCGGAGACTGTCATGCTCTCGCTTAAGCGCTCGGGTTTGCAGCCGCGGCTGCTAGACCTTCTCTGCAGATCCTCATTCCAGTGGTCCAGAGGAGAGTGTCAGCGCCTCTTCCTTAATTTCTTCGTTCTCGTAGTGAAACTGAGCGATACAGAGGCACTATGCGATTCTGCACTAATTTCATTTCTGTTACTGAACAGCCAGCCAACAAAGAAAGCACTCCAACCACCACCGTCGCTGACATCAACGACATTGTCACCAGCAGCTTCGTCACCTGGTGAAGAATCTTTAGTAGTTGAACGACCATTGCATTGGTCACAGCGCGTGAGACAAGCGAAAGTGGTGGCGAAGGCATCTCCGCGGGAGCCAAACACCACTGATTTGAAGGCAGTGGTGGGACAGCTTTGTGGGACGGAGACTGATGTCTCCGGGGCATCTCTGGCACTCCGGGCGTTGCTGGACATTGTGTTCAGGCAGAACCGCAACACTGCGCTCCATGCTGACACCAGCGTGTGTCTCATGTTCGCTGAGCTTGATGGCTTTGACATCGTTGCCGCTTTCCTCACCGGCGAGGAATGCTCAGACGCTCTACATCTGCTGGAGGCGGTGACCCTCTGCGAAGGTCTGCGCACCCTCCATGCGTTGAAACTGGAAAGGACGGCTGCTTGTTTAGTGCGCTTTCTCACTGGCAAGGACGGGAAACAGAGGATGGAGGATGAGGCGTGGCACAACACGATGAACGCCGCCTTGCGTGTTTTGACAAACGTGACGGGGCTTGTCCCCTCCGTTTTGTGTGAGCTGCTGCAGGAGGGCCGCGCGCTGGCGGAACTGGCCGCAGAGGTGCTGACGGACGCCGACGCTCCGCCGGACACGCTCGCCTTCACTCTGTGCCTCGTGACGAACATCGTGAAGTGGGAGGCCCGTGAGCGGATTGATGCGTTCACGAGTTGCCTCGTCGAGGACCCGTCGTTTCTGCCACGCGTGGCCTCCCTGACATTTCGCGCGTACCACGCGGAGGACACGGAGAAGAACGTCGTGGCGGGATACTACGCCCTCCTGCTTGCCGTCCTCTCGCTGTGCGCCTCACCGGCGCTGCAGCTGCGTGTGCCCGTCATGACTGCCGTCGCCCACGCCACGAAGGGAACAGTGGCGGGGAAGATGGTGGAGGCGAAGCCCATGACGCTCATTGTGGCGCTCCTGCAGGAGTTCGTGCTCTTCCAGGGCTCGGCGGGGTCGCTGACAAAGGAGAGCCTCGTCTCCATGAGCAGCATCATAGACAGCGTTGTGCTTCACAACGACATAGAGGTCGTATCAGACGGTTGATTCTCTCCCTTTTAAGTCACACCCACGGAAAAGAAGCAATAACGTGACTCACTTGGTTTCATTTCTCCCATTATCTTTTTCCCTCGGTTTTATCATCATCGCCAGCAGCCGCAGCCGGGGTGTTGTGCTTGCACAATAATTTTTTGTTTTGCTGCGTTTTTTGTTTGTGGCTTCAATGTTGCATTCTTGTTTCTCGTCTTGTATTCTTTTTTTTTTTTTTTTGCATCTGCAGAGGTTCTGTGTTAAATCCGCAGTAAGATTGCCCTTTCCCCACTCCGCAATATTCTCAACGATGTCTGTGCGAGTTGTTGTGAGGTGCAGGCCACTGAGCGACGATGAACGGCATGATAAGACCAGAGTGATTGTGCGCATGAACGACAACGAGGTCCAGGTGGTGGGCTCGTTGGAGGGGCACAGTGGGAAGTTCTACTACGACGAGGCGCTATGGTCAGCGCAGGTGGTGGTGGAGGGCAGCAAGAACCCGCACGTGCCGCAGGAAGCCGTGTACAAGCCCGTCGCATTCGAGCTGATCAACCACGTCCTGACGGGGTATAATGGCTGCATCTTCGCGTACGGTCAGACCGGCAGCGGCAAGACATATTCCATGATAGGCACGCCGGAGGACCCTGGCGTCATTCCGCGCATCGCAACAAACATCTTTAGGGAGACGAAGAGCCTTGCCGACAACGGCGTTGAATCGTGTGTGGAGGTGTCCTTCTTTGAGATCTACAACGAGAAGGTGCGCTGCCTGCTATGCCCCGCCGACGGCGACTTTGACAACTCGTCGCTGCGGGTGCGGGAACATCCGAAGTTTGGCCCGTTCGTGGAGGGCCTCACGAAGTTCGTCGTGTCGTCGGAGGTGGAGTTTCTGCGTCTGATGCGCGACGGCAACCAAGTCCGCACCGCCGCCGCGACGTCGATGAACGCGGTGAGCAGTCGCTCCCACGCCGTCTTTGCCGTAACGCTGACACAAAAGCGCACAAACGGGCGGCTCGTGACGACGAAGACGTCTCGGCTGAACCTCGTCGACCTCGCCGGCAGCGAGCGTCTGTCCAAGACGATGGCGACGGGTAGGCGGCTTGTGGAAGGGGCGAACATCAACAAATCGCTTGCGTGCCTGGGCAACGTCATCAGCAGCCTCGCGGAGGAGCAGGAGATGGGGAAATCGCGCCACATTCCCTATCGTGACTCCGTTCTCACGTGGATCCTGAAGGACAACCTTGGAGGTAACTCCAAGACGGTGATGCTCGCCACCATCAGTCCCTCCTCGGCGCAGTACGAGGAGACGATGAGCACGCTGCGCTACGCGGAACGGGCAAAGAAGATTGTCAACAAAGCAGTGGTCAATGAGAGCAACAATAACGAGGTGATCGCCGCGCTGCAGAAGGAGATTGAAGAGCTGAAACTCCAGCTGCAAGGTGCATCGGAGAGCGAGCGCATCAAATTATCGGAGGACCTAGCAGCCAGTGAGGCGATTCAGAAGGAGCTGCAAATGTCGCTCGAGGAAAAACTCGCAGAAACAAGAAGAGTGATGGAAGAGCGCGAGACATACATGCGTCATCTTGAGGAGCAGCTGGAGACGCAACGGGGTGAGATCGAGAATCTGCGCAATGAAAATGCGGAGAAGGAGCGGCGTATTGAGGAGCTGCTGCAGCACATCGAGGAGGTGCAGAAGAGACTTGGTGGACGGGGGAATGCGGAGGTAGAGCAGCTGCTTGAACAAGTGGCGGCATTGGAGTCTGAGCAGCACGCGGCTACTGAGAAGTGTGCACCGTCGAGCTCTTATGTTTCACAGGACATCGATGATGTGCTGCTGCGACCAGAGCATCTGGGCAACGTGCGGCCGCAGGAGCTAGAGGACAGCAGGGTCACCGTCCGCGCGTTGGCAAAGGCCTTTGAAGCGATCGGGTCGGATCCGCTAGTGGTGAAGCGCACCGCTGCCACGGACGAGGTGCTGCATTTCGACCCCGTCGCGATGCATGTGCGTGCCTTTGAAAAGAGGGCGGCGGGGGACCAACATCCACCCGATGCTCCCACCGAGGAGGAAGACTTGTTGGATGCGCTGCTTGGCTTAGAGGATGATCCCGAGCAGCAGCAGCAGCAGCGGGGCGACGACGCCAATGAGAATGATGATGTTGATTTGGAGCTTGACCTCGACGTGGAAGAAGATGAAGATGTCGTGTTGGATGAAGACGGCATGGACATGGACCTTGACCTCGAACTTGACCTCGAAGACGAGGGAGCAGTTGATCAGGCAGGAGGACAGGAGAATGGGGCTGATGAGGCGGCCTCAGAGGAGCTTGAACTGGGGGATGATAATGACGAATACGGCGAGGCAAGTTCGCAGGCCGACTCGCTAGAGATTGACGATGGTATGGAGGTCGAAGTCTACGAGGAGGCCTTCGCTGGCGACGCGGATGATAGCCCGAAGGTGCCGAAGGAGGTTAATGAAGGTTTCACCTCCTCTGACATGGTCGATGACACGAGTGCTCCTGTGCCAACTTCTACTGCCAGCGTTGCGACCGCCACCGATGGTGTGACGCACAACGCCGGCTTTCTCTCACCCTTTCCGACCATCACGACACTGGTGGTACCATCGCACGCTCTACCCAACAATCGCTATCTCTGCGAGCTATTTCGAGTGATTAAAATGAGCGACATGATGCTCATTGGGACCAAGAAGGAGCGGATTTGGCTTGTCGACTTCTTCCGGCGTCGCTTTGCAAACCTGGATATGAGTGGATACATTTCGTTTGAATATCCCTCTGGCAACCTGTATCGTGTGGAGAAGGACCCCGTCAACTCGAGACGTCTGACGCTTCATTTCTTTGAGGCGCCACACCCATACGAGTTAGAGTTCACATCAAGTGACCGCCGGCAGCGCTTCTACGAGGTGGCCATGACGCTTCGACGCAATTCGATCATGTGGTGCCCCTCGTTGTGCCTCGAGAATGAAAACGACACAATTCTGAACGTGCAGGGTACGACGGTGGACCGGCCGAACGCTAAGCAGGTAAAGGTTAATGGGGAGACAAAGCTCATGGTTGCCCGCATGCCATATGAGGTGATAGACTTGTGGTATGGCTGCTTCTCAATGAAGAGCCGCGCGCTGCCACATAGTGCCGCCGTGCTTGGAAGTTTCCTGCCGCGTAACTCACACGAGGTCTACATCATCGGCGTGATGGACGTACCGCATGCTTTTATCGGTAATGACGAGCTGTCCCGGTTCTTTCTTGAGTACCTGGGTGTGTCGCTCTACTACGTTCTTGCCAACACTACCGTGCACTCCAAGAAGAAGAACACAAATAACGCTATTATTATCATTGTTCGGCGCTCCTTTATTCTACGAGCCTCACACATTGAGGCGGTAGAGACAACACCAGTGTACAGGGATGACATTGCGAAGGGCGACTTCACCGCGGTGGGTTGTGCTCTGCGCATCAACGAGACAACCCTCGGTCTCATTCTTGTCAATGCGAAGCTGTCAAGGTGCTCGACATTGGCACGTGCCGGATGCCTGCGGTTGTTGATGAGTAGTTTTCCATTTGGCGACATCTCTGTTGATGTCGGGGTGCGGTTTGACTACTTTATCGTCTCGGGTGCCTTCAATTTTGGGACCGACTTTAAGAGTGACGATATGCTTCTTGCGCAGATGAAGGCGGCAAATCTCATGTCGGATATGGAGGAAGCCACGCCCAGCGCCGCTATACTGAATGCGCCGGAGTCGATACGCATCTTCTACGCCGTTCGCCCACATGTGTGCCGTCTTGACATCAAACAATACACAAGCTCACGGGCCCTGACGATGCCCAATGCATTTGTGTCTGCGGATGTTTTCTGCCAGCGGGCCTTTCTAAGTGTCTTTGGTGAACAGGTTCCGTGTGTCCAGCTGGTTCTGGACAAACTGGCGCTCATCTCACCAAACGGGCGCATTCCGCCTGTGTACTCCCCGGAGCTGCGCATCTCCGCGGACTGGATCGACGGCAGCCCACTCCACGCACCATTCGCCAAGAGCAGTGACTCATACACGCTGTCGGGACGGGCGGTGCCTGTGGTGGCACCAACAGTCAGCAACATGGAATTCCTGCGTCTGCAAACTATCAGTTTCTCATTGCTGGGATTCCTCGACACATCCAAAAAAAAACAGAAGACAGTCATTGCTTCGGGTGCTTTACCATTGAAGAACATGTTTGAGATGGGTAAGGCTGTGGAGTTTGATGTTTCACTGTATTATCGTGCATGTCGCGTAGGGACTCTCAGAGGCTCACTCTTGATGGTGTTGTATGAAAGAAACACTACGGATCTTGCTGGGCTTCGCTCCGAACGCGACGTTGTGGTTGTATCGTGCTACGAGAACCAAGTACTAGACGGAAAGAACTGGGTGCCGACCATTTTTTCGCAGCACCATGCTTACAGCTTTTCGCTTTCTGATGCAACGATGGAATGCAGCAGGGAGAGCTTTGAGCTTCCCGATCCGGCAAAATGGATGTGGCTTGACCAATGGCGCCATGATGTACTTCAGTACGACGCGGAGGGGTGGACTTATGCCACGGGGTTCCACCAGCCGTTTCAATATAAGTGCATGAAGTCCTGTGGTGTGCGTCGGCGTCGCTGGACGCGGGCTATGCAGGCTAGCGATCCCCTCACCCTGCACAACTACCTGATGCTTCTGAAGTCTAACGGCCAGGCTTCTCAGGCTGATTAACATACCTAGTAGACTGTAAGTGTCAATATCGACTTCCTTTCTTGAATATCATAAACGAATACCTCAAGAAAAAGGTGAAGGAATTGGAGCTGAAAAGTGACTCAGTACTCTGTTCATATGCCCTTTAGTTTTTTTTGTTTTTTTTTTTCATTTTATTTACTCAAGACTTGAGCGGTGTATAATTGGTGCTTTTTTGTGTGTTAAAGCTGTTTTTGTTGTGCTTGCATGCGCTGTGTTATGAAGTTGTGGAGAGTCTCCTGTTTTCTTCGCTGTGCATTTTTTTTTTCGGTTTTGCAGCTACGGTGTTTGCCCGTAGGCATATTAGAAGGTTTTCTCATGCCGCCTAAGGCCCCGCTCACTATATCGGTTCCGCTCAATAGTGCCCCTCAACGGACGGCCCCAGTAGCCGATGCGCAGCGTCCCTTGGGAAGTGCGACAACGGTGAGGCCGAATGCGCGCCCCATTGGCATGGGCAGGCACGCTGCGGGTGTACCGAGCGGAAGGAATGAAATGGAGAGCTATTTTGAGCGTCTCTTGGCTCTGGGCCGCGTTAACGGTTTAGATGCTATGGGGGCCAAGGGTATTGAGCAGCTCTGCGGGGACCTTTCTATTACACTCAACTCATTTGAGATGTATACGCTCATCTGGAAGATGGGCATTACGCGGGGTGGATGCATTCCACGTGCGGATTGGTTAACGACGATGTACGCGTACAAAATCAAGCATCCAATTGATCTGAAGCTAAACTTAACAGAATGGGTAAAAGAGGCGAGGGAGGAGGCGTTCATAGAATTCTACAATGAGCTGTACGATTACATTCGTGGCGAGGAAGCACGTCTCATGCCTGCTGATAATGCAATAAAGGCGTGGGCAGTTCTGTTTGCACATGAGCCGCGTATCCGGTCTTGGATTGAGTGGTACACCGTTGTACACAAACGCGATGTGACACGCGATGTGTGGCGGCAGCTGGCAGTCTTCTTTTCTACCGTACCCAAAATCGAGGTGTACTCTGTGGAGGACAAGTGGCCCAGCGCCATTGACAGCTATGTGGAGTGGTGCGTCTCTTCTCATTAACATTTCCCTCTCACTTGCCATGTGTGTGACTGTACAATTGGGGGAAGAAAAGTATACAGAGTGTGTGGTGCTATCTTGTTTGTGCTGTAATGCAACAACGATCCCTGTTCACTACCTGTTTGCTTTTCTTACTTCTCTAACTTGGGTATCCCACAGACGCCTCTGCAGAAACATAAACGCTCGCACACATTCTCGCACCTTCGTTTATACCTGGGCATCTTGCGAGGCGCCAAGTGATGCGCCGTTAGGGCAAAAAAAAAAAACAACAACAACGACAACGAAAAAGTGTGGCTGTGTTTGAAATTACTTTTGTTGCTGGCGCGAACCTGAGTAAGGGAAGTAAAGAAAATCGTCATGGTCACACTGCTGCCCACTTGGCTGCCACACTGGACGACATGGTCATGCTTATTTTGCTACAGAGAAACTGCTCATATTCTTCTCAGGAGTCGGATGGTTATTTGCAGCGGCTAGATTGTGCTGTATTCTGTGACAATTAGGCTGTTATGATTGTTGCTACAGGATCATTATTCGAAGGTCAACTGTACGAATGGTATTGGGCAAACGCCTCTTATGCCCGTCTGCAGCTACACACAGATGACGAATATCTGCTTGCTTCTAACACAGAATGCTTCTGTGGAGTCACATCGCTGAAATGACGATTGCGTACTCCACTATGAGTTTTATTTTTGGATTCCAGTGATGCTTGAGGGGCAACTGCAAGGTGCTGGATGGCTAGATTGATGCTGCAGTCGTTGTAGTCCTAGACTGTGCCTCGGTGGACTCAAAAGACAGAGTGGTAAAGATTCCATGTTTTTCATATCAAAGGGAAAAAAATGGAGCTTTTAAAAGCAAGGATTTCCACCATGCATGATTTTTGTTTTCTCTGTGTTTCTTCTTGCAGCATCAAAGTCGGCTTGCTGAAGTGGTTGCCCTTTTGTTTGCGATGTGCAACACTTAACTCTCCTGTGAAGAGATTCCGCCAGCACATATATATATATATATATATTTATTTATTTATTTGTTTATTTGTGACTTTGTCATTCCTATTTATGTGTTTTTTTATGTTGCTTTTGCTTGTCACCGGCTCGACAGTGGATTCTCATGCCGTAGAGCTTCCTTGTGTTGTTGTAAAAAAGGGGTCATTTTTCCTCTTCTCACTTTTCTACACTTTAGCTGTTACCTTGAAGACTTTTCCAGCGTCAACGCAATGGCACGCGGTGGCGGCTTTGGCGACGGCGGCGGCTATGGCAGAGGCGGCGGCGGTGGCCGTGGCTTCGGCGGTGGCGGTGGCTTCGGCGGCG